TTATATTTTGTAATTAATTCTGTGCAGATTTATTTCGTGCGTATTGGTTCGTGCTAGTTTAGGCCAATAATTCTCGAATTTTGAAGAGAAAGCGATAAATAAAAATTTGTAAATATTGTAGATATATTTATATTAATTTGACTTTCACGCCAAAAGTGAATTATTTTTATGTTTAATTTCTTATATAATAACCAATCAGATTCATTCAGACGCCTAGTCTTTTGCGGAAAGCAGCAAATTAGCATTTTCTGAATCTCCACTTTTTTAAAATTTCATTTCGTAATTAATTTTTCTATCGGGTTCATTAATATCTTCGGGGTCAATGCATTTCCAAATTTAAGAGGAAAGCAACAAATTAAAATTAGGAAATATTTTATTTATTTTAATTTATTTTAATTTCTGTGTAACTATTTCACGTCAAAAGTGAACTATTTTTAATTTTTATTTCCTAAATAATTCTATCAGATTATTAATCCTAAATTAGGACTATTAATATATTTTTTTGGGAAAGCAACAAAATAAAATTTGCAAATCTCCACTTTTTCAAATTTTGTATTTCGTAATTAATTTTCTACCAGGTTCATTAATATCTTGGGAACCAATCAATTCCCAAATTTTGAGCAGAAAGCAATAAATTAAAATTGTGTACATTCATTCATCCATGCATTTAAATAGATACGACCTCCGTTTCTGTTCGATCTCCAACTTTCCTATTAAACTTTGGCTTTCCTTTCCCCTCAATTTCTTCCATTTCGATTCTTTCTTCTTCTTCTACTTCTGGGAAAAGTTGTTGGGTTTCGAGAGCGAGTTGTTTTTGAAGCCATGAATAAACATGAATAGCCCTCAAGGGCTCTTTTCCTCTCCCAAATGAATTCTCAACTCTCAATCAAACACAAATGGAGACGAGGCGAACGACTCTGCATGCATGTATCCGAGGAGAAAAAACTGTTTATTTCATTTCCCTATATTTCTTTTCCACGAGTAAAGCAACACTCAATTCTGAAAAAGTTAGTTTCTCTCTCTCTCCTTTGAAGTGTATCATGGGTGGTTTGGTTTGGTTTCACGAGTTCGTAAGGTTACTCCAAGTAGTTTATTTATTCTATTTTTTTACGCAACTGATCATCCACCTAAAAGGTTTTTCGTAACGGGAACAACTTTGTGTCGACTTATGTATTTATTGTAACGATTATTTAATTTGGGAGAAAATTACAATTTTGCAATTAAAAAGCCCCCTCCCCCGCCTAAAAAAAATGTGCCCAATTAAGCGAAAACTTGGTCCTGTCTGCCTGTCCGTCAGCAGGATATCGGGAGAACGCATCGAGATAAGATGGGATTGTGGCATCATACATATGATCCCAGGAGGAGGAACTTATCAACTTTTAGAGTCTATTGGACCATTCCCCTCGAAGTCAGGGGGTGTGGCCACACAGTTTTTCAGATAATTACTTGTTTCACCCTATTGCTACATTTTGTTTGTGACGGTTTATTTGTTTATTCTATTTTTTTATCATCCAACTAAAAGGTTTTTCTTAACGGGAACAACTTTGTGTCATCGTCACGATTATTAAATTCAGGAAAAAATTTTGCAATTAAAAAGCCTTCCCCTAAAAAATGTGTTCTCAATTTCCTTTCCTCTCCTGTTATCTCATCTCCTCGATCGACGTGCATTCTTTATTCCACCGTGATCTTGATTTTTATATTTTTCTCCTCGATGCGTTTATGTCATATCGTTCGTTTTCTTGGCCGAGGAGAGAATGGAATCTTGCCGTGATGATGACGGAGCACTTTATCATTCTTCTTCTGTCTCCTCTCCTGCCTGCACACACGACAAAGTTCACCTAGCTCTCGATCGAGTCTTCTTTTTCAAGATCGAATAGAGATGAGATAGATGACACGATCAATAAATTGGAAAGACGACAGAGAAAGCAGAAGGGAGGAGGACATCCTTTTCCCATTATGTTGTCAGTCATGCGGCTCTTGTCACTTCTTCTCCGCTTTCATAATGAATTTCTCCTCCGTCTTCTTCCCTGCCACAAAGTTTAAAAACATGTCAGCCTCATACAAATGTGTAAATAAGGCAAATATCTGATTTGTTTTCAAAACGGGGTCCTTAGAATTAAATTAAAGCGTGGGAGTGAAACGCAATAAAACGTGATTTTGATCTGGTAAATAATTATATTTTGGTTCCATTGATGTGCTTTGCGTATTGGGTGCGTTTGGTCTTCTTGATCACGGCCACAAAGTTTAAAAACATGTCAAGATCGCAAATATGTAAATAACGCAAATATCTCTGTAATCCGGACTGATTTGTTTTCAAAACCTTAAAACTAAATTAAGTCATCGGAGTGAAAACGGAATAAAACATGATTTTGATCTGGTAAATAAGCACAAAATAATTTTATTTCATTTCCATTGATTTCCGTGATGTCCTTGTTGTGCGTATCGCGTTTGGTGCTGCTTTCACTTCTTTCTCTCCCCTCAAGATCACCAATGCGTTTTTGGTATCTATCCAATCTCTCGAATAAGTCGTGATCAGTGGGGAGAAGGAGGACAACAAAGAGACGACGACGAGATAAAAGGAGGAGAGAGACTTGTTTAACGGGAATAGAGGAGGAAGAAAAAGAAAAGAAGATCACTCGCAATATCAGGGGCCGCGGAAGCGTGGGGACATTGTTCCTCTGTCCCCATCATCCGCCCATGTTATGTAAACCCCGACCTCACCTATCCTACAATGTTAATGTCCCCACGGCTTCCGCGGCCAATACGCAATGCATAAGTTCTCATACCGTTTTTCATACATTATTACCTTGCTTTTTCCCATCAAGAAGGTCTCCTTGTCCTCTTCGATATCTGAGTAGGAGGGGAACGAGATCTGTTGAGGAGGGGAGAGAAAGTGCGTGAGTAGAACAATGTATTCCTGGTCCGTGGGAGGAGGACAGGTTGTTTTGTTGGTGTATATGTACACTAAAGAAGTGAAGTGAAGTGGTGTCGTGTTGTGGGTGGAATGAAAATGGGGGAAATTTTGGAAGGATTTAAAACCAAAATTCCCAAATGGTTATGTTCCCAAAGAGGAGGGAGGGAGAAGAGGGTTTGAGAGTTAAGACTTACTTATGTATGAATAGGCAGGCAGCCGGGAGAGCGAGTTCAGTACCTGATTAGAGTGGAAAGTATGGCTAAATGGATGTACGGCAGTGCTCATGAGGGCGTGATGATGCTTGCATAATGGTTACAATGTATCCAACCAGGTCGGATTATTGATTTCGAGAGGAGGAAAATAGAAAGTGGATTTGTTCAAAGAAAATTTACTGGTGGTATGATTTAAACGTCATTTTACAAAATTTTGGTAATACGAGATTATTATATTTAGTTTAGGTCAACGGACTACTATAGCATCTCTTGATTTATCAAACTGAATAAATTACAGCCTAGATAATTATTTACATGCTAAATATGTACATGTTTGTTTACAAAGTAAAATTTGCGGTTAATTTGCAACATTTTGGTGAAGAAATTTTTGCACAAATGAAACCCTCCAATTTCTCCATGGTCAAGAGCGATGGTCACCAATTGTACTTTCTAATGAGCTAAATTGTTGCACCCTTATTTATCCAGAAACAAATCACATTATTGTTTCTGCTAAATTGTTAGTCTTTTAATTAAAATTGATTGCTCATGATCTTCTATTTCAAACAAGCGTTCATCCTCCAAGTGACTTCTCGTTCTGGTGAAAGCTCGACCACAATCATGCGTACGTACTTATCTAAAATGCAATGGAATCCATCCAGTACGCAGTAAATGGTCACACTAAACTTTACCAACCACGGAAAACCTCATCTTATTCGATGATCACTACGTTACATAGCTGACTCGGATTCCTTCTCTTGTCTCCTCTCAAATTTCGATTAAACCACAAACTCGCCCGCTGAACTGGCTAACTTTACCATGAACTGACTGCTGAGGATCTCAGCCAAAATGTCACCCTTCCCAAATTTCCCCCTTTAATAGAACCGAATAAGAAACCGCAAATAAACGTCGTCTCCAATTTCCATGTTCACATTTCAATTAGAAAACCAATTTTGATGATGAAGGAAGCCGAGTAAATTATTTTGTTTCGAGAATAAGACACGCAGTCCACAATTCCTGGCCGTTTAATTTCCGGCAACAACTTTTCCTACGTGCGCACATATTTTCCTACTAGTTAGTGGACGCCTTGACTTCGAGATGACCCAAGAAAGTGTGGGAAAAAATTCAACTTTTCGTACGTGCCTACATCCATATTTTCCTCCTAGTCAGTGGACGCCTTGACCCAAGAAAGCGGGGGAAAAAATGTTGCATTTCACTTGATACACAGGCCGTAAGTCGCCACGGGTGGGTGTCATCTCGTCGCAATAAAACGCAGTGGTGGTTCACATCTTCACGTCTCGTCACGCACTGCATTGCATTAACTGCACTTTCTCCAGAATGCGGCCTTGGAATACGCACTATGTCCCCCAGCATAATAATGGGTTTTCACATGGCTGTCTCTTTTTCCTTGAAAAATTTACTGGTTTCGGATACTCTTGTCTTGATGCCATACGGTGTACAGTTTGTTCATCATCCAATATCTACCAGACCACCCTTCCCCCCAAGCAACAAAGTAAAGTTCGTGGAGGAGGAGGGTAAAATATTAATCACGTCATTATAACCCTCCGTCAAAAATTTGGAGGAGAAAGTGGTTGCAGTTTGAAAAAAACATGTTTCAAGATGAGTCTCAATTCTGACCATCTTGTTTTTTGGAAAATTGAGCTAACCCTCCATCAAAAATTTGGAGAAAGCGCAATGGATTTTAAAAAAATATCTCGGAACGAGTTATAATTCTGATCATCTTGTTTTTTTTTGTTTTTTTTTTACTTTTCACGGGAAAATTAATTTCAAAAATTTGGAAGAGAAATCGCATCACATTTTCTTTAAATGTCTCTCAATTAGACCCAATTCTAACCATTTTTCTTTACTTTTCACAGGAAAATGCGGCTCCTCCAGCCCCTGTGTCCAACTCTGCGTTGAGTTACACGATGGCACGTTCGAGTGTCAATGTCGCCCCGGTTACAGGCTCCTGTTGGACGGGTACAGTTGTGTCGGTAAGTGTACTTATCACTCTAAATACATCATCACCACCGGACGAGAGCAATTTGTCTCAAGGCAGAAATCGGATCGTGTCCATGATACCCGACCAAACCACCACTCGAAATAATCTGAGGTCATCTTGTTCTCATCTCATCTCCTCATTTCATACCAAATGCGAAACAGCACATCTGTTGAAAAGGCGTTTTAAAATTTAATGGTTTCTCGCACACGATGCTGAGAAAAGAGAGAGGAAGATGTTGAGGTCGAGTAAATGTAATGCTTTAAATTACGTTTCCTTGTACCTAACCTCCACCAGTTTGAGAGGCTGGGCTGGTCGAGATCACAGCACAGCCTTCGAGATGAACACTTTCACCAGCAATTTCTTCTCCTTTCTCTTCGTCTTCCTTCATCACGCGCTATAAGAAAATGCTATACGTAGTTTGCTCCTTACATAATGGGATGAGTGGTCGGGTCGGTAAAAAATTGGGATTTGGGACAATCCAGATACTTCAGAGGGGAAGGAGATACAATGGCCGCGGATGCGGTGGGGACATTAACATTGTAGGATAGGGGTTTTATAGCATTGGGAGATGGTGGGGACATCGAATAATCCTGGGGACATTGTTCTTCTGTCCTTCCGCGGCTACTGAGAAGCCATGAACACATGTGGCATTGTATTTATGGGCTTAAAACGCTGTAATCCGATCGTGTATGTATGTACGTAGTACGCATGTCGTTGTTCCTGTGTGTAAACATTTCTCTGTTTGAGAGAGAGACAACAACATGGATGACGACGGGATGAAGACCATCTTTTTGTTTTAGTTTCCGTTTGATTCCCATGCGGGAAATGAGGAAATAGGTCATCCATGTCTTATCCTATTGTATTCTCATCTCTGGTCTGGGCTGGTTGGTCCTGTCGGTCGAGTCGTCATTTCTCTCCCACGGAACCAAACCCACGCCAATGGAAGATGTAGCAGAATTAGGGTTTCGACTAGAATCAGATCACTGAAACGGGTTGAGTCAGTAATGAAAATTATGAACAAGAACAATAGGAATTTAGAACGGTGGGATGATTCCATTCTTATAATGGAGGTTTCCTAGCCTATGTATCCGATTTTGAGCAAACTGCTGTCAATCGATCAGAAATTTAGTTAGGATGAAATTTGCAAAAAGACACAAGGCGGAAATTCAGAGAAATTTAGAAATTTAGCTAATGTGGAAATTTAGAGAAATATTTACATCCTACGAGGAGAAAACGCGCTGTAAGTGCAAAATTTGTCGACTTTAGGGCTCATTTTCTCCTCTTCGGATGCAAATATCTCTGCCAAACGTGATCATTGGGAGATCGTCTATTTTTCAAATTTCACATTACTTAAATTCGTAATCGATTGACACTAGTTTGGCCAAAATCAGAGCACCTACTTTGGGAGACCTCCATTGTCCGTTCACAGGAATTATTTATAGATCCGTGTGTACTAGTGACACATATGTGTTTACACATTACGACGAAACGCATCTTCCATTTCGCCACCATTTTGCGAAACCCTACTGCCCACGTTATGATTACAGCAGGGCTGCGTTTTGCAAACACACTTCACTTCATTTTATCCACTCCTACGGTTTCCGGCGTGTTGTGTAAGACACACACATACATCATATCACATGGCGATTGGACTGGAGGCAATTCCTTATTTTTCTTCACTTTCTTTGTCCTTGTTCGTAAATTGGAAGAGAAAAAAATTCTTCGGAGCTATAAGAAAGCCAACACCACGTAGAAGAAGTTACGTTCGCAGCTACATTTCGTGAAGTGGATTTTTCTTCTTCTCCAATGTTTTATTTTACTTTTACTCTTGTAGATATTTTCTTACGTTACGTAAAAGAAGGCGGCCGGAAGGAAGGAGGATAAAGGCCACTCAACGCCCACACGGCGAGATCATCACCACATCAAATTCCTTTTAAAGTGGGACACATGTTTGCAATCAGAGTCAGGAATTTACGAGATTCTGCACTTAATTCAAACCATTTCGGGAGGAGGAATGCACTTTTAGAAAGAGGGCTTTTACTTTTACAAATACAAACCTCCTTCTTTAAAAATGAGGGGGCTGAGATTTTTGTAAGAATTGCGTAATTTGACGTCGGATACAAAATATTTGTAAAGTTTAGAATTCAAAATTTCAATACAGATTTTAAAATTGTAAAATGGGGGAGCGTAAAAGTTATATAAACACAAGTTCTACCTACAATTTTAAATTATTTTACTTCAATTAAAGTTAGTGATAATCGTTTAGTTAGTTTGAAATGTTTATAACCTTATTCAAGAAGGAGAAATTTTAGAGTTTTGTAACTTTTGACGTCAGATACAAAATATTTTTAAAGTTTAGATGTTTAAATGTCATCATAGATAGAGAATTCGCCCATAAATGAAATATAATATGAACTACTTCCAGTTCAAAATTATTTTGTGAAACTCAAAATTGGTGATAATCCTTTAAGTAATTAGAATTTGTGAAATTCTTATCAGCAGCACTTTCCCCACGGTTAAGTGCACTTTCACTTTCTTTATAAGCAAGGCCCTATGGCTCAGAGGTACGAGGGTAGGATTGTCACCACGCAGTCACACGTTCGATTCCTCTGGCCGGGAAGCTATTGCTAATCCTACTCGGCTCGGTGTTAGTACGGGGTAGGTGCTGTCTCGTGACAGGGTGAGCCCAGCCATACGGAATGGCAATGTCACTGTGTACAGCCCCTAGCAGAGTCCGTTCTCTGTGGGGATGAGACAACTTGCTACGAAATTATGGCAAGAAGTCGCCATCTGAGGCTGAAAAGCAGAGAAATCTGAGTCCTGGCGATGTAAAACTGTCACATTTTAACATTTTAACATTTTAACATTTTATAATAGGAAAATTTTAGACGTTTATAAATTTTGCGTAATTTAACGTCAGAGACAAAATAGTACTTTTTAAAGTTTAGATTTGCGAAGGAAATTACCACCGAAAAAGTTACAGAAATACAATTTTTACTTTCAATTATCTGAAAATCTAAAAATCTAAATACATACCTATACATTCAAATTATTTTGTTTCATTCAAAGTTGGTGATAATCCTTTATTCATTTAGAATCTGGGAAAATTTGTCTGGTTTTGAAAATGTAAATACTTTGACGTCGGATGCAAAATATTCTAAAAATTTACAAATACAAATTTTGACAGATACATATTTTGTGCGCACAAAGTTTTACAAAACCAAATTGTACTTCCAACTACACTAATTGTTTTGCAAGTTCACTCAAACCTTCAGTCATTTAGAATTTCTAAAAAATATGTGTAATTTGAGAAACTCGTATGAATTCGAATCATCTCCCCACTTTCATGGAACCCATTCCCATATTTCGGGGAAAGTTGGGGCGGCAGAGAAAGGAGAGAAACATAACGGTTTCCTACTCTGCCTTTCTTTTAGTCGGAGGAGGGTGTGTGTGGTGGAAAATGCACATTGTCTGCCCATCCAGGGATGAGGCAATAACTCAAATTTACATGCCACATTCATAATAATAATATAAAATCCACCACCACCACCACCACGCACCAACCTCACCAAACCAAACCACCCACCCGTGCCAAATTTATGGGTGACGACGACGATGTGAAAAGTAATGCCGTGTTGTACAAAATATTTATCTCCAAATGTGTACTGGAAAAAGGGGGAATTTTATAATTGCGATATAATTTGGAGGAGGGCGACACCATTTATTCTTTTTGAAATATTACAGTATTCTATATAAATTTAAGATAAATAATTAATGGGCATAAATTTTCACATTTTGGGCGTGTTTCTGATGTTATCTTTACTATTTTAGAATAACAATATACATACCTAAGGAAAAGATTGTTAACTAAACATAAATAAAAATTGTGAACATAATTTGCTGGAGGACGACGCCATTTAAGTTTTTCGAATTGTGAAAATATTTTTTAACAACTGTAGATTATTAAGATGAATATGCTTTTGCTCAAAATTTATAGTACAAAAATTTGTCTCACAGTAAAAATTTGCACATTTTGGTATGTCATCCTCCTCCGACAAGATTCATACTTTTTCTCTCTCCTTTTTTTCCAGACCAAGAAACAATCCGGAATATTTAAATAATCTCCGATTTCTCTCTCCCGTTTTGTATGTATACGAAGGATGATGACTATGTTGATTTTGTGGCTTTGGGTTCAGTTTTTTCTGTAGAAAGCAAGAGTCCCGGAAGAGTAAAAAAAGCGGACCACATTTTTCAACAGTTTTGACTTACAACATCTTGTCGCCAAAATTTATGAGTGTGGTGTCGGAGAACATTTTCGTTTTTGTGGTAAAAATATCTTTGTTACTGGAAAGACAAGGAAGAAAAATGGTGCATGCGTGAGACAAATAATTCTGCTTTCTTGGTCATTTAGTTGAAGATGAATGCGTAATTGTATTGGTTCTTCAAAATGTGGCACTAAATCAGAGCAATTTTCGAAAACCTGGATTTTTCTTCTCCTCCATTGAAATTGTCGTCGATAATCCAAAAATACGGGAAGAAATTCGTCGTAAAATTTCCAAATAAAGTGGGGTTCTTCTCTCAGTGGCCGCGGAAGCCATGGGGACATCTGGAGACATTAAAATTGTAGGACTGGGGAGGGAGGGGTTTAAACAACATGGGCGGATGATGCGGACATCGAACAACCGTGGGGACATTATCCCTCCGTCGCCACCCTTCCGCGGCCACTGTCTTCTCCCACAAAGTAACAAATACCACGAACCACGTACGAAATTTGGCTTGTTGGACAAGGGATTTGCCATTTTGTAGGATTTGTGTCAAGACTTTGGTTCCTCGTACCGTCTAAAAATCCACTTGTTAACGAGAACACGGTCGACGAGACTCGCCAAAGCCAAGAGTTTGGTTAGTTGGACAGGAAATGGACACAATTGCGTAAGCTCTCTTCGAGAGAGCGTCTTGTTCCGAGAGGACGGTGCTTTTTCCGTGAAGATACAATTTTCCCAATGGTTTACTTTTACCGAGATTGAGATTTATTTACGAGTTGTCCTCTCGAGGGGTGGACCATTTGTAAAAAACTGCGAGACACGCGGATAGAGCAGCAGCAGCAGCAGACTGATTTCACTTTATTGGCGATTCGGGAACTTTTCATTTTTATGGTCAATCCCATTCCTTTTACGGCAGGTCGCATTTCATTCATTCGCCCGTTTAACCTACCAACTTGGCAGTAAAATGGGGGGAAATGTTGCTGACTTGTTAAATAAATCTGGATTTTAATTGAAATTTCGCCGGACGAAGTTTTCTCAACATTCCGCACTTTACATTATTTCCTCAGTTTCTCGGATGGGCCAATGAGATCGGATTTGCAAGAAGTGTGTGGTCTGGCTGGTCGGATGGTCGAGTGAAGGAGCAGATTTGTGCATGGGATATCATAAAATGTTATTTATGGCTTTCCTGATAATACTTGGATGGAATTGCTTTCACTTCACGGAGACGTATTTGGTACAAGTTGTGAATTTACGAGGGGGATGAGAAAGCAGTAAAATATGTAACGGCAGCTTTTTTGGTTATGGTGGTGGTGGTTTAGTTGTAAATTTTGCGATTAATGTGTGTATACTGTTCGCAAATTAATTTGGATTTGGAATTTTAACTGGGTATTATTTCGCAATAAGAACTGGATAAATTTTGCGATTTAAGTATGCGTTTCGTCAATTAATTAAGATTTGTGCGTATTTATATTATTTTCACTGGTTATCATTTCCTAACAATTTGCGGATTTGGGTATATTTGGCGATTTACTGTACATTTATACATTTCGCCAATAAATCTTAATTTGTGCACATGTGCATAATTCTAACTGGTCATTATTTCCAATAATTTGCAGAGCTGGGCAACGCGACGTATCCCGATGACGAGGATTCAGACGAGCTCGAGTCCGACGTGGACTATTCCTTGGCTGACCAAAAATCCTCGATTCTTTTAAAAGCGGCAAAGTCTGCGGTTCCCGTAGCGCCGAAAATAGTATCCTCCACGCCCTCGCCACCATCGGGCGATGGGGATGACAAGAACAGTTTCGAGCTGGAGGGGAGACCACTCCCACGACCAGCCGCATCCTCCTCGTACCAGCGGAAAAAGCCGAAAGCTTACTTGAAGGAGGGAAGCTCTGGGGCGATCGCGGCGGCAAAAGTCGAGGCGCAAGAGAGGAACAAATATCTGCGCAAGTTTTACCCCATCGATGACCCGCGCGTGGGTCAGGTCGACTTCTTCGGCCTGGACCCGGACGTCATGGCGAAAGCTACGGCGAAGGGGTTGAAACTTACACCGACCGCGTTCGGGGTCACGAAAGCTGGACAAAAGGGAAAGAAGGGTCATGACCACGAGGGTGGTGGAGAGTATTCTGGGGAGGATGAGGACGATTCAGGGGATGATGACGATGATGACGACGAAGATGATGAGGATGATGAGGACGACGCGACAAATGAGGCGGAAGAAGATTTAGGCTCGATTGAAGGGGCCGTCGCGGCGGCGTTGAAGGATTCAAAGGGTGCCACGAATTATGGTATGTATATTTGTATATGTTTATGTATCTAAAGACTATCCTACGTATGGGACATATAAATATTCTGAGAAATTCATCATTGGCATTTTGAGATGACAAAATCAATGCGAGTAACCATTTGCATGAAATAATGGCAAGAAAGTGGTTTTTTGCAGTTATTTTGACCTGCAAGAAATGCTAGGCGCAAGAAACCACGCCCCGTCGCTGTACTTCATACGGCGCGTGACCAGACGGCGCATATTTCTTGCAGTTTCTTGCCCCTTGAATTTCTTGCGTTTCTTGCTTTTCAATGCAAGAAATGCAGCAAACGGCATTCCCTGCACAGAATATTATATTTTGCAAATTTAATAAATTCGCAAAACTAAACCCATAAAAATCATATTTTCAGATAAAGATCACTTCGGCGGTGGCGAGAGGGACGACGCTGACGAAGAGTTGGACAGTGACGAGGAAGACTTCATCCTCCCTCCGAGGGCACTCCCGCTAAAAAACATGCAAGGCGACGCACCATCCCCGCCCGTCATCTCCGCCATGTCGTCATCACCTCAATCCGACGCCACGGTACAAAAGAAGGTCGCAGGACCACTCCCACCCGCCCCAGGGGGCGAAGAACAGCAAGTTTCCTCCTCCGCACCACCACCACCAGCAGGCAAGCAGGAGACGGCCGAACCTTGCCCACTGAAGTGCAATCGTGGCCAGTGCATCAAAGAAAGTTTGGACGAGCTGGGATTCCGCTGCCTGTGTCCCATGGGGACCAGAGGAACTTTCTGTGAAATTGGTGAGGAGCTCTTTCTTTTCTCAGCCCTCCCTCGTCGTCCGATGCAATTTGTTCTGCTTGATTCACCAACTTATTTACTCCTCCTTCCACTTCACTCTCACTCTCGCGGAGTATCGATGATTCGATTAATTGGGGAAATCAATCCAGTTACGGACACAAATAAAATTGATATCTGGGAGGAAAATCTTGGGTGAAAGTTATGCCCAATAATAACTAAACGTAGGAAACGAAATGTAGCAATAGGGTGAAACCCACGGACATTTCGATATTTGACCATGTCCTCACGGTCATGGGGAAGGTCAAAAATATTGACGGAGTGAAATTTCCTTTAAAAATGACACCGTATGAAAATTAAGGTTAAATTTATTTACTTAATTTTGGACCAGACCCCTGGGAGTGGTCCGATTTGCCTCAAAAGTTGACAGAAACCTACCCCTCGGGTCGTGGATATGATCCCGTATACCGATTTCTATTATCTCTATGTGTTCTGGCATTACTCTGCTGACGGACAGACAGACGGACACAGTCACACAGTCTTCGCATAATAGGGTTTTACCCTATAATAAATAAACCTGCTTGTAACATGAAGAAACTTTCCAACCAAGTGCACCCAGCCACACTGAAATCTCGTCATCAGGTCCAATTAGGCTTTGTTTCTTGTCACTCTCAGGTGCAATTTACGACCACCAAATTTTCCATCCATCCTTTCACCACTTTTACCCAGCTAACTATGCTACATATACAACAAGTCTCGACACTTTTCCGAGCAAGTAATGATCAATCACACCGCATCTGGTCCTCGTGGTGGGTGGGTGGATAGTGGTGGTGGTGATATTAGCTGCCGAAATTAGCCGCACATGGCTTGCCTACTAAATCACAAAAGGGGGGAAAGAACGAGAAGAAGATGTCTTCTCGTCTTCCTCCAGGGCGACAGTTTTTTTCCAATTTTTGTAAAATCCATTCCTCGCAAAATCAATAACTTATCTGGAAGATGCGAATATGTGTCTTATCTTATCTCGTATGACCATACGTAACAAAAAAGGAGGAAAAATGTAGCAGCCGCGTCAGTGTCAGTATGTGTTTGAAGCCCGTTTTCCCAAGGAGGAGCAGGAGACAGTGCAGAGTTTGATGAGTTTCTCATCCCATCGGACTCGTACATTTCCTGGAACGGCTGGAACGGGTCATTAGACACGGGAAATGTGTTCTCCGCACACTCCCATTACACAAAATGCTTCGAAAATGTGTACCCCACCCAAGCCAGCCAACCACCCACCCACCTTTCTTCTTCTCGGTCTGAAACCAATCCATTTCTCCGCCATCGTCATCATGTCTCGGATGGCGATGGCGGTGGTGGTGAGCAAGGTGACATAAACAGACGCATTATGCCACCTCACATCAACATAATATTGCTCGGAATGCTTGCTTGTCATCCCCTCGTTCGAGCGTGATCACATAACTTTTCACTGATGGAAATTAACGACTAAGAATCGAGGTCTCCCGGTGTATGCTCTCCGAAACAGTGTCAATCGGTCATGAATTTAATTAATATGAAATGTGTAAAACACATGATTTCCCAATGGTCACGTTTTACAGAGATATTTGCATCTGAAGAGGAGAAAACGCGCCCTAAAGTTGATGAATGTTACACTTTCCAAAATTTAATGTGCGCTTTCTCCTCTTTGGATGCAAATATCTTTGCCAAACCTGCCAATTGGGAGTTCGTAGCTTTTGCAAATTGCGTATTAATTAAATTTGTAATCAATCGACACTAATTTGGCCAAAATTGGATAAGCATACGCTGGGAGACCTTATCATTAGTGTTATCCTTACATAACTAATCGATTAATGAATTGTTGTCTATTCTTTTTCTAGTCGAACTATTCGAAGAGGGTGGCGGTTACAACAGCGGTCTGTTCCGGGGACGGAGCTGGGTCGCATTTCCCGTCCTACACGACGCCTACATGGCGGATCAAATATCACTGGAATTCCGCCCCCAGTCCGCCAACGGGATTTTGCTCCTCACCGGAGAACGCGACGACCTTTCCGGCGACTATCTCGCCCTTTTCTTGAAAGACGGCTATCTCGAGTTCAGGTCAGTAACTGCATGGATAGCTACACAAGTACATTTCATTTGAGGGGGTGCGACTGCTTTCTTGCTTACATTGATCGTGGCACTGGATCGACTAATAAATTATAACAACGGTCGGTATAAACTCCAGCCAGCCGTGAATTCTCTACTTTCCATTGTAATGGTGTCTCTGACAGGGGAGGATAAATCACTCCTCGGGTTTTTCATCGTCGAGGTGAAAATACTCGAAGCATAGTTTATGAAGGGATTATGTATTAAGGTTTTTTTAAAATTTGGCATTTGCAAACTTAACAAATGAACCAATTCAACTGACAGTTGGCCAAACGTATCTTTAACTACTGTATTTATTATTCATACATTTTTTCGCCTGCTATCGGCGTTAAACTTCGACATTTTAAAATTTTATTACTCAAAAACTCAAAAAATTTCGTCAATATTAACTGTAAAATCATACCATAAAAAAGTATAGTTTACCAAACTGCATACATACCTGTATAAATCTTATGCAGAAATATTAAACCTCCGACACATTAAATTACATATTTGTACATGCATCATGCTCCAGACATATACTAATCTTAAGTATGTAAGGCTTTAGAATTCTGATTTCGCCACAGAATTCTGCTTCCAAGTTAGATGCATAATTTTCACCAGCGGCAGCCCACTTTCACCTCCTCACTTTCGTAGAGAAGAATGCTAAGGAGGAGAGTACGCCAACCTGATAATGACAGATCTTGATGTCCTTTGGATATATGGTAGTACCCCCTCTGAAAGCAAAAAGTGTGAAGCGGTTTGATGCCATGGCCCAATTTACGCCCGTCACACCCCTTTGAAGGCGCGCCGGATGCCAAACTAGCTGCACTAAAAAATTCGCCAAAAATCCAATTTTGTTCGGATTTTCATAATAATTATGTATTTGTGATCCCAGATAGTCCCTTTATCATATTCAGTTGCAAAATTAACTTTTCAGAAATTTTCAATATTTTCGAATATTTCCTGAAAAGGGCATGGCTTGAAAAAATTCAAAATTCCAAAAAAATTCAGATTGATATTTGATATGATAAAGCAACTATGTGGGATCATAAATATGTAACTATTATGAAAATCCGAACAAAATTGGATTTTTGGCGAATTTTTTAGTGCAGCTAGTTTGGCATCCGGCGCGCCTTCAAAGGGGTGTGACGGGCGTAAATTGGGCCATGGCATCAAACCGCTTCACACTTTTTGCTTTCAGAGGGGGTACTACCATATATCCAAAGGACATCAAGATCTGTCATTATCAGGTTGGCGTACTCTCCTCCTAAGTCAACTTGAACCAAAATGAGAACATCACCCTTTAATGATTTCGAGTTCAAAAACCAAGTCCGTCTTCTCTTCTTCAGTGGCGGCGGAAGTGGGGGGATTGTCCCCCAGAAATTCAGCAAAAAATCGTATCTTGCCGTTAACAAGTCCCTCCTCCTCCCACCCCACAATGCTAATGCCCCCCCCCCCCCCCCCCACTCCAACTTCCGCCGGCACTGCTACTCTTCTCCGTCGTCGTCATTCCGCCAGCCAGCCACGGATGAGCAATTTATTGACTGTCTTTCTCTCCCTTTCTCTTTAGCATATCCGGATTAATTTGAGCATAATCCTTGATACTTATCCTTGTTTTTGGTTGACAGGTTCGACTGTGGTTCAGGTTCTGGGCTGGTTCGCTCTGCGGCTCCGGTCAAGTTGGAGCAGTGGAACAAGGCGAGCATCGTGCGGCGAAGGTGGGACGGATGGATGCAGCTCAACGACGGACCCTTCACCCAGGGACGATCCAAAGTAAGTTTTCCCATACTTTCCCCATTTCGTGATTAATTAATTAGCTAATTAGTTTGTTAGTAAACTAAGTATCTGCTCAATGGAAGGTGTAATTGATGAGTGGCATTATCTCTCGACGGATAAGGAGACTTGTTATCACGAATAATTAACCATGTTCCATTAAGAGATAAGTAAGAAGAACTTTGCTGGAATATGAAGTTTACTCAGAAACTAAATTTTGAAACATGAATGTTTTTGCACATCGTTTTAATTTAATTTTCGTTGCATGAGTCTCGTCGATCTTTTGTGTGGCCGCACAATTCAATAAGTTGAGGAGTCGATGAAGGTATTCCGTTATGCAGAGAGATTTGATCTCTGCCCGTTTCCTGTGTCGATATCGAGTCAGTCAGTGTGTCATGCCATTCACGAAGAGGAGACAGGAACTCGGGCCGGAAATTGAAATGTCTGTTCGTTTGACTTGGAGGCAGGGAAATTGGAAATGAACACTTGATTAATAAGGTGTCAACGGTGTGCGAGGCTATAAATACTTAACGTTAAATGGTAGTGAGTATTATGTAAATAAAACTGGGGCGTCGTTTAAACAAATGGTTATGAAAGAATTTTAAACTTTTCGTTGGGAAGTGTTAGTTTTATAGGCAAAAAGTTATGTTGAGTTTCGCATTTTCTGGGATTCATCATAAACTTACATAGTAGGTATATTATTATATTTTTTTACAAAAATTGGGTCGTATCTACGTCGCAAGTTATTTCGTAGTTGTTATAATTTTACAAATCAGTAATTAGATTACTAATTTTCTTTTATCTGTAGAGTACTACTTTGGAATATTCTCATTTTTCAAATTTTTTTAGCAAATTCGCAAATTCACAGGTTCTCCATTGCTCTATTTGGATTTATATTATTTTCTAGGCATACATTGAGTCGTATTTACGTCGAAAGTTATTTCTCAATTTTGTAAATCTCACTGGCCAATTATTAGATCTTTCATTAATTCCTTATTCCATTTTTTTCAAAAAACTTAGCCCACAACTGACTGCTTTAATTCATTACTTTCACTACCCCCGCTTTCACCGGTATCTCTCCAAAAATTCCTTTTTCGCATGTCCCAACCACATTGGCGAGAGAATCAATCGGAAATTAATTCTGCCCCATCATCATCATCAGCATGCATCAGGCGGATCATGAATATCTATTTGCCCACCACGGATTCGGTCAGATTGAGGTCATTTAATTCCAATGTTCCAATTAAACCTTGGAGCAGCATACCTTCTATTTTCCTTACTTCTTGCTCGCCGTGGTTGTTGGTTGGTTTGGTTAGTGGGTCCAAATCTGGTCCAGATTTATTGCCAGTTAAGCAAACACGGCCAACCAATAAGCTCCCGCAATCGATCGATCCATTACCTAATTTTGGTAAAAAGTTGAAAACTTTCCCACTTTAATTTGCATACCACCCTCGCAACTGAGCCAAGATTGGATGTAAATTAAACTGATGAATAAACAAGTATTATTTAGCACGAGGCACCTGGTTCGTGTTCATTCAGTTACACGGAATTTGGCCTGATTTCCATTCAACTTCAATTAAGAGAAAGTATTTAAATGGGTCAATGTTTTGAAATTTTCTTGGCTCTGGTAACTAACTCGTGATTAAAGTTTTAGCCCATTTTTTGTGCAAAAGGATCAACTTTTTTTAGGGAGAAAGTTGAGCAACAATTCATATTAAGGGATTCGTGTCTGGAATTGACTTCGTGCCTTGGTTTCCCACAACACCAGACCACAGAAACTAAGACATCAATTTGATCCACTTTTACATACTGGGCTGAACTGAATGGTGGCGAGGAGAGGAGTTGTTCTCGATAATAATTTTAACGTCAGTTGCAACAAAATGTTTGCGTTTGACAGTACATTCCGTTGGAGAAAGTAGGTTGTGTTGTGGTGAGGAAGGAGTGAGTAGTGGTTGATCTCTCAGAAGAGAAAGTTGGTTTTTAACCGAAAATTATGTTCATTTCTCGCTATAAATACATACGTTTCCGGCCGCGTTTCAAGTATCGCATCGCATCCATATGAAATGAGGGAAGGTTTAATCTATGTATATGGAATTTCGACAGTGTTTCGTTTCTTGCGAGTTTGCTACATTCCTTGCAGTGCAAAACAAGAAACGCAAGAAATGGGGGGTGCAAGAAATTGCAAAAAAGTGCAAGAAATGTATGCCATCTAACCGTAGTTTCTTGCGCCTTGCATTTCTTCCAGGTCCAAATACCTGCAAGAAACCACTTTGTTCCCATCATTTCTTGCAAGTGAGTATGTAGTTCTACCCGAAACACTGAATTTCTCCAGTAGATTTTTGGCAGCTGCTTTGATTGGCGAGCTACATACGTAGGAATGTTGCTAACCTGGGGAGGAAATGCTTGGACAGGGACAAATAACTGTAATCAAATCAATACATTAACTTTCACTGGCTTTACTTCTCTCTCTCACCAACTTTGACATCGACATCGTGCCGTGGTCGCGTCGTCGTTCGGGGTTGTCCATCAGTCACAGTGAAACTTTCACTAATTCAGAAATCCCCCAGTGTGCAGATCCGAAATGTGCGAAATCCGTCTGTGGTCTGGCACGAGATAGGGAAGAATTCCCAGAAACATCTTTAATCATAAACGTAACCACAACTCTGAGCTTTTACTTGCTTTGCTTTCACCTGCGGATTCGACTTTTGGATTCCACTTCACCAAAAACAAATTGGCGTGGGCTCTGATTGACTGACACACAAAACTGAAGAGTTATTCATTCATTCGTTTATTTATTTATTTTTACTTTCCATATCTTGTTTACTTTTGCTTCCCTGTTTCTTCACAACTAGATACATAAATATTCAGAGGACGGATATGTACGAATTTGCGAAAAAATTGCTGAAAGATGCATTTACCATCTATGAAAAAAAAAAATCCCAAAATATTTACGAAATATGTATGAAAAACCTCATAAAATTATCAAATTTTTCGCAAAATTTGTATTTTCGAATATAATGCTCTGTATTTTTATAGTCGAATTTCTTTGAGCAGAAAAATTTCGCCTCGTATCTTTGAAATATCTTAAAAAATTGTTGAATTTTTGAACAAATATTTATGCATTTTTCAAATAATAGCGGAAATATTTATAAATACATTTATATGTCTGCAAACCTAGAAATATGTGAAAATATTTAAAAATATTTTGAAATTTTTGTGATCTATTCGAGTTACGTAACACACCCACAAAGTTTGACTGTCTGTCATCATCAAATGAATAAGTAGAAAATAAATACATATCCGCCCTCTGAGGATATTCCACCCACCCAAAAAATACACAAATCTCGAGTAGTTGCCTACTTCTTTCTGTGTGTAAGTTTGTTTGTGCGTGCTGACTGTTTGTGTACTTATGCTAAAGAGCTTCTGGCAAAATGGGGCAGGATGTTATCATATTTTTCCAACGAGTGGTAGGTGAAAGCAGAGAAAACTGGGCTCTCTCTCTCTCTCTTCAGGTAAACCGAGTAAACAGTGGGTGAAAGATTTGGCTGGATTTTTATGGATGTGGTCCACTCGGTAAATAGTGGAAATATGAGGTAAGAATTTCTGAAATGATGGTGGTTCCTGTTCCTTCGAGTGGAAGGGACATTTACTTTTCGTGTTCTTGTTCTTGTCGTGGGTGTAGCAGTAACTTATTTTATGTTTGGGGAGCTCGTTTCTTACTACGACTTCTTCCCTACGACGAGTTCTCTTTGTTTACAAGATTTTTGAAAACAAAAATCTGGATTTTTTCAAGGGTAAAATTTCAAAGTTTATGTTAGTTAGTTTTGAAATTTATGCTACGATGGAGCCCAGCATTTCATATGTATGTATATGGGATCGGCTACATTTATTCTATGTATGCTCGTGTAGCATTAACTTGTTTATTTTTGGGGTGCCCGTTCCCTTTGTTTAGTTTGTGGGCAAGATTCTTCGAAAAAATTTTGATTTAAGCAAATTTGGATTAACAAAAAAAATTTTATTTTCAGTGGTAAAATTTCGAAGTTTAAGTTAGTTTTGAAATTTATGCAACATACATTAGCGTCCAGCGTTTCATGCATGGTATCAGCTCGGCTACTTTGGTGTAGTACTAACTTATTTTATTTTTATCAAGGCCGTTTCTTACTACGAGAGTTCTGTTTTTGCAGGAAACAAGATCCTACAATTTTGTCAATTTTACACGAGTAAAGTTTACGTTGTGATGTGATTGCCGTAGTTTTGAAATTTATACTGCATCGGAGTCCAGATCGGTTACACACATATTCTCATCATTTCCTCCTATGCTAGAACAGATGGTTTTGAGTAAGTGGCACACCCACTCGCTCAAAAGCGTGTCCTACATATACTCGGGTAGGACTAACTTACTTTATTCTTGGGGAACCCGTTCCTCCTGTTTGCACGATTTTTTTTACAAAATAAAAAATCCTGAGATTTTGTCCATTTTACACGAGTAAAGTTTACCGTAGTTTTGAAATTTATGCTACATCGGAGTCCAGATTTTTATATATGGGATCAGCCATTCTCATCATTTCCCTTAGCTATACTCACTACGAATGGTCACACCCACCCGCTTAAAAGTGTGGCACTGTCCAAACTTTCACTTTCTCACTTTCTCCCCGGATATAAAAATATAGGAGTGAAGGGAGTGGAGATAAGCGGAATCTTTTATGCAGGACATGAATCGCCGATAGAATATATTTGTGTCACGGGGAAAAAGCCAGACTTATGCCTTTTTTCTCCTCTTTCCGCCTTCATCCTAAATTACGTCGGCTTTTTACTTCACTTTCTTCTTTTCCGCTCACCTTCTTCTTCCTCCTCCTCCTCCTCGTTTTTGCTAGCTGGCTAACAGTGGCCGCGGAAGCCTGGGTGGGGACAGAGGGACAATGCCCCCACGGTTATTCGATGTCCCCATCATCTCCCCATATTATACAAACCCCGCCCTCCCCTATCCTACAATGTTAATATCCCCACAGCTTCCGCGGCCACTGCTGGCTTATCTGCCCGGGAGGAAGTTACGTACAGTTACTTACTTTCACCCGCATATTCTTCTCGAGGTGAGGTGAGAAGAAGAAGGAGAAGAAATAATAAATAAATCTTTTTGCAAAACGATCTCCTCGCAAAAGTAACGCCGTCTTGTTTCCTGAAATGCGATACAAAATTCAATGAAATGTTTAACTGAATTTACAACACGGAATGGCTTCTTCTTCTTCTTCTTTTCTCTCCTGGTGTGAAGTGGAAGCCTGACTCGGCATAAATCACTGGTTGAGATCATTTGTTGCAACGGGAATGTTCGGGTAAACCTCAAACTTTATAAAGTATAGGACATCCACGAGGAGGAGAAAGTTCATTAAATCATGAGATTGAGATTGGATTAGGTCTGCGGAAGGCTGGTTATTTACTGCGGAGGATGAAAGAGATAAGAGTAAAATAATGTGCAAAATATTTATTGCATGTGCAAATTATTTTGGCAATTACGAGATCAATTTTTGCAGTAGAGTTTTAGTTGGTGTGGGTAGGAGATAAGAAGCTTGATGTGTAAAATATTTATTTTGGAAATTATTTTGGAAATTACAAGATCAATTTTTGCGGTGAGTTAGTGCCTATAAAATATATGAAGTTTGATGTGCAAAATACTTCCTGTGCCAATTATTCTAGAAATTACAAGGCAAATTTTTAATAAAGTTGGTGCGGGTAAAAGATAAGAAGTTTGATATGCAAAATATTTATTGTGCGAATTACTTATTTTTGAAATCATGAGACCATAATTTTTGCATTTGTCTTTCATAGAGTTGGTTGGTGTGGCTAAAAAATATAAAGTTTCATGTGTAAAATATTTATTGTGCGAATTATTTTGAAAAAATACTTGCTCGAATTATTTTGGAAATTATGAGCTCAATTTTTGTACTACACGGATCTTGGATTTCAGTCCGACCCGCTGTGCCGATAATATTCCAATATTATTCCTTCTCACTTAATGGATAGTTGAATGTTCACTTTGAAATGTACTTTCGCCACTACGCATCCACCCACTCGTTACTTTCTCCATGTACTCGTGAGCCTAAAACAAGTGTCAGAAAGGGCCCATTACCGTCTCCATTAAATAAATCATGCGGAGCACAATGTTGTTTTAATAAAGGCCACCCACCACCCGACATGACCCCGGAGAAGTAAATGTTGTTGGTGTTGGCGTGTGCTGTTTTGGTCCACCAGCCAAGCCGGGGTGGTTTCCGTCTTGATTACCATCCCATTACGACCACCACGCCACACAGCTCCCAGATATTCCACACTGCTTCGATCTGCATGTCACCAACTAAGCAACCAAACGGTGCTGTAAACTTTCACCCGGGTGAAAACTGACAATGGAGGTCTCACAGTGTATGCTCCCCGATTTTGGACAAACTAGTGTCAGTCGATTGCAAATTTAATTAGTATGAAATTTGTAAAAGATACGATCTGCAAATGGTCACGTTTGGCACAGATATTTGCCTGCAATTACACTACAAATTTACTGTACGATTTCTCCTCTTCGGATGCAAATATCTCTGCCAAGTGTAACCATTGGGAGATCATGCTTTTTTTACAAATTTCACATTAATCAAATTTGTGGTCGATTGAGGCAAATTTGGCCAAAATTCGAGAGCATATGCTGTGAGACCTCCATTCTGAGACTTATTTAACTTATACACAGACAGCATTTTCGTAAAACGCCACTTCTGCGGACAACATTCTTTACACAAAATCTGTTCCCGAGACGAGAATGAAATTGTAGGGTCGGATGGAATGTAATGCAGTTGTTTCTTGTTTATCCTCTCTCTCTCTCTCTCGAAAAGTGAGGCACACTCCGTACATATGTATGTATGCAATCTGCTGTGTTTGTTGTTCCATATTTTGAACCCAGTCTAATTCGCAGGCTGAACTTAGGCCATTAATAATTCGTTCTGTTCCCTCCACACAGGGCCTCTTCTCCCGGATTACTTTCCGACAACCGGTCTACATCGGGGGCCAGGGGAATATCACGTTCAACTCGGTCTCCTCAATCCAGTCCAACTTCGACGATGAGCCGGAACTCGCATCTTCATCTTCATCAGCAGCCAGCAATCTCGCCACGAGCAATGAAGCCTACACCACCACCACCACCCCCACCGCGGCAGGATCAACTTTCACCTCTCCGGCGGGATCGTCACCCTCCTCGTCGTCATCGTCGTCGTCGCCTCCTTTCACCGAACCCACGACGACCCCGGTCCTCTCGTTTGGCGAGAGTGAGAAGGATGCCGAGGGGGAAAATAAGTACAAGAATGTGAAAAATGTTGCTGCGGATGCAAATTCTGTATCGGAGGATGTATCCGAGTCGGGAGTGGTGGAGGTGCTCAAGAGGGTTGGCGGATTCCAAGGCTGCCTCCGAAATTTGGTGATCAATGATCGCGTCTACAGATTTGGACTTGAGCCAGCTGGCGACTCACTTCAAGGCTTCGATATTGGTAAGATTTTTCTCCGAGAGGATGAAGGGAAAAAATGGGAGAATCAAAAAAGTGGATCGATGTGAATGACAAGATTTTACACAATTTTCTGCCCAATATGACGCACAAATTGGGGGAAGATACAACAATTAGTTTATTTTTTGTAGCGCCGCAGTTGGGATGTATGTATTTAGCAGGGAGTGGATATGTATTTATTTTCAACTTTTTCATTGGATGACGACGGATGGTCAGACTTTGTGGGTCTGTTCCCTAACTTGAATAGGTCACAAAAATTTCAAAATATTTGCACACATTGTTACACATTTCTAGGTTCTTAGACGTATTTATAAATATTTCCGCTATTATTCAAAAAATTCATAAATATTCCAGATATTTTTTTCGAATATATTTTGTAAATATTTCAATGATACAAGACAGAGGTTTTTTTTTGTTCAAAGAAATGCGACCACAAAGATCCACATTATATTTAGAAATACAAATTTTTTTCAAAAATTTTTATTCTTATGTTTTTTTGCACATATTTCGTAAATATGTATTTTTGCGTATTTTCCGAAATAAGTACATATTGCATCAATTTTTCGTAAATACATATCCGCCCTCTGATATTTAGCAAAAACGGTTCGTTAATCGCCCCCCAATTGAATGCAAATTCCTCCATTTACGAAAATGAAGCCTTAATCGCATCTTCATTTCGGAACGAATCGATAAAAACGAAACGAAATAATCTTTCTAACCATTCTTTTTTTAGTTTTTCTTCTCCCTCGAAACCATTGCCGTTCATGTGTCGACATTTTTTACAGGATTAAACGCTTACTAGCACAATTGGACACTTATTTTATTGAGTTCATCTCCACAAAGGAGAGAAGAAGGACGACAAAGTAGAGAGAAAGCTGTGTAGCATATGTTGCGTCCAAGTGAAAGTCTTTGTCTAACTCTCGAGCCAGGCTTTTGTTTCTTGTTTTCTTATCTCGTCCAGAAGAAGACTGAAAGTTGGGCAGAAACGGAGGAAATGGTCGTCGTCGTCTCTAAATATTGCAACCCCGCAATATTTATATGCAACTGCTCCCTTTGTGACGACTTTCTCTATTTTGTATCAATTCTCTCTCAAGCCCCAATTCAATTCTGCTCTTTTTCTACATAGACCAAGATTTAATTTGAGCGCAGGGTTTAGAATTTTTATTGAAACAATGGGACGACAAAAGATCTTGAGTAAATCGTGTTATTCTTGGATCCTCGTGTATCAAGTAGGTAAAGAGCAGTGACCGCGGAAGCGTGGGGACATAGGGGAGAATGTTCCCCAATGGAAATGGGGACAGGCGATTTCGATTTTCCTAAATTTTCATGAAAATTTTACATGTTTAAGCATCCGTCCGGGGTACTGAACATCTTTTTTTTCTGATTAAAAAAGGCGACATTCACAATTTCGTACACACGACGTACCACTTAAACATTTTTTTACTGAACATTTCTCTGCATAAAGTTGTATCTAAAATAGGCAGGATTTTTTCTCCCGCAGGAAATTTTCATATCATAGTCAAGATTAATTTTTTACAAGTACTGGATTTTTTTAAAAGATTTCTTGAGCTAAAAAATAGGCAAGTTAAATTTTCGCGAACACCGTAACCGCGAGTGGCTTGTATTTTTACATGTCCCAAATTATCTTCCGCGGTCACTGGTAAAGAGCGTCGGAAATAAGAAAAAGGTATGCGAAACGTCCAAATTCAGTAGGAGGAGGAGAAATGAATGGGAGGAAAGTGCAAATAAAGTTAGTTGGAGGGAGAAAGTGGGCGAGATAAGAGAGAAAGTGGATCAATGGAGTGTGTGGCAAGTGTGATTTTTCATACCACACCACGCCAGACACACGGGAATGAATGCTAGAGAGAGAAAGCAGGAGGAAGGAAAAGTGTGGTTGGTTAAGTTAGCAAGTGGCTTTAAATGTGGGAGGAATGTTGTCTTGGCCCGTGTGCCAAATAAATTTACAAATCAAACACGTTTTTTATTTTCACTCAAATTCACACCTATTTGTTAAACGCATGTAGGTACGTAAGGAATTATCAGGAAAGCTCGGATTAAAATCGACCTGCCGAAAATTTTGTCATTTTCGGAACAATTTCTCTGCAATTTCTATTTTGCCCAAAGCATTAAAAATAGGCAGGGTTTTTTCGCGACAGAAAATTTTCATATAAAATTTTGGAGATACTTTCTTAAAAAATTCCCAACATGGCGACAATTTTCTTCGATGCATCTTTTTTATCCTTATTTTAGACATATTTCCAATTTCAAACAAACTACGTGCAACTTAAACAATAATATTTACACATTTTTTACTGAACAATTTTTCTGCATAAAGTCCTATTAAAATTATCTAATTGTAAAATGGGAATTCTTCTTAAAAATCACCAATACTGAAAGAGGATCATTTCAACATCTTTTCTGGAATTAAAGTAACATATTCCCAATTTTGTACAAACGACGTGCCACTTAAACAATAATATTTTTTCACAATTTCATTTCCCCCTGCCTTCCCCCATTTTCCAAATTATACGTGCATTCCATAAAATAAATGTGACGGAACTACTATTTTCCCTGTGTACACAATAGTACAACAAAAAAGGCTGTAAAGCAATTATGTAAAACAAGCGAAGTAAAAGTGGGGCTGGTTAGTTGGCGTAATTTTAGGTGTGTGTGTGTCTTTTATTCCTTTTGCTGGTGAAATGAAGGAATTTGTATTCAAGTCCCTCTTGGTCGGTGGCATGCTTTGCAGATAAAAAGAAAAATTTTGCCATTCCATTAAAACAGCAGTATCAACACTTGCCACGAAGTGAAAGTGAAGCGCAACACATGAATGAATTTTCACGAGGAAAGTTTTCCCCATGAAATAAAATAAGAGTGCTTTCTCCACTCCTGCAAAAATCGTGCCGACATGAAATTATTTGTAAATTTATAAAATTTATTGTGCATATTTCAGAAAACTGTAACGATCAAGGAGTCTGCGATTTGGTCAAGTGTCAACATGGCGGACAGTGTCTGGTTCAGAAGGACTTGGTGCAGTGCTTGTGTCCCTTGGGATTTAGTGGACCCATGTGCGAAACGCCGTTGGATTTGCAGGTGATAAAGAAATTTAAAGTATTTTTGGGTTTAAAATTTATGAAGTTTTTTGTATCGGGTTAAGTTTAGTCTTGAAAAAATTGTGAGATTGTACTACGTAAGTGGCGTCGGCTGCTTATTGTGATCGTTTTGTCCGTCCGTTTGTCTGTCCGTCCATAGGCAGGATATTTCTAGAACATAATCAAACACTGTTTTCGCCATTGTGCTTCAAATTTTTAGTTCTCGGTGGAATTCGACGAGGTCAATCTAACCATCCCCCACATCGACAGGGGGTGTGGTCCAAAATTAGACTTAACCTTAATTTTCATATGGGGTGTCATTTTAAAGGAAATTTCACCATAAATTCAACGCCGTCAATATTTTTGACCTACGATCAACCCATGACTGTAAGGATGAGGTCAAAGGTCATAAATCACATAATTTTCATGTGATTTTACATTTTACTGTACGACGCCACTTTTTCATCTTCGTTTGAATCGGTTTATTCCAACTTTCACTTACTTCTTTAAAATAAGTCGGCACAAATGAGGCTAAAAAAGAGAGCTCCCAGTTTTCCTTGACTCTTTTTACTATCGCTTTTTCCAAACAAAGGAATGCGATACAAAACAGCTCAACTTCTTCTTCTCGTTGGGAACGAGGGAACAATACAATTCACTTTCACCAACCCACCAAGTAGTAGAATTCATTCCATAATTCACTTTGTTAAGAATTTACCCTTCCTTTTCTTGCACCCTTTTCTCCTCCTCGTGGATAATACGTTCGCAGTAAATCGAAAGCGATGGAGGATAATATGTAGGAAAAAAGAAGTCCAATAATAACACAATTCAATGCACAATGGCAAGATCACATAAAGGACGAAATATGTACGAATACCGACCAAGAATGGACAATAGGAGACTCCTCCAAAAGGAGGATTTTCTATGCCCAATATTACATAAAAGAAGGCTGTATTACATTTTATTATGGTTTGGTTTTTGGTGGGAATAAATGAAAATACGATGCCACCATTTACGGATAATTTCCTCCACCTCCAGTCCAGTGCTGCAAGTGTCCATAATGACGACTAATTAAATTAATGAGTCTCATTTCGTCGGGAGAAAATCGCATTATTTGTTGCGTGAGTGGGATAACAACAGCCCTCCCGTTCCCGCTAATATCCGCAGGTGGAGGTCATTGGCGGAGGAACATTGTCCCCCAGAAATTCAGCAGAATCGTATTAAGACCCTCCTCGTCCAATCCCACAATGCCAAATGTTCCCAGTGGCCGCGGAAGCATGAGAACAGAACAGAGGGACAATGTCCCCGCGGTTATTCGATGTCCCCATCATCTGCCCATGTTATACAAACCCCTCCCTCCCCTATCCTACAACGTTAATATCCCCAGATGTCCCCACATCTTCCGCGGCCACTGGTGGAGGTGGATGGACATCGAGATCGATATGTACTGGTCTTCAGTCCAGTCCTTGTTGTGTATCGTAAATAATTGCCGTAATTTCTGACACCTTTTATTCCTTTGTACAGATTCCCTCCTTCAATGGCTCATCCTACTTGAAGTACGGGGGCCTCGGCTTGACACGCGTGCTGAGTTGGCTCGAGCTGGAAGTTGTGATTAAGCCGGACGCCATGGACGGGCTGATCATTTACAACGGCTACAAGACGGACGGGATGGGAGACTTCATTTCACTTATCATTGATCAGGGCTATATCGAGTTTGCCATGGATTTGGGGACTGGGGCGGCTATCATCAGGTTGGTGCATTTTCGTTAAAAAATTCACTTTCACCTACACTCTTAGAATTCCAGTATTAAAATGATGCTAAGCGGTATTAATATAGACATGACTCTACCAAAGTGATAAGTAATACTGTGTATTTAATAACAGTTCGGTATTAAAATTTGGCCATTTCGGTATGAAATTTTTACGGACCGGTATAATTTTTATACCAAGCAGTAGCTACTTTAATACAGAGAAATCAATAGCTGCGTGACTTTCCCAGATTTCTAACAGTGCACTATTTGAAAAACCTTGTGGTACAAAAAGTGATATATTTTTTTGAAAATATTCAGCTTTCACTATTGTAAATATGTTGGTCACGTGTGCATCTTGTATGTACTGCAATAACGAACTGGGTTAAGTTTTGATGGGTCGGACGTAGCGGAAAATTCCACGCTGGCCAGAAGAGAGACCCCTTAGTTTATTAAGACCTTTTAGTGCTGTAAAGTATTGCGGAGGGCTAAAGTTTTCTGTCCGCAATTCCCAGCGGATATATAGAAGGAGAGATTATGGGAGGCTTGTTGGCATTTTGTGTACTTTTTATGACCATTTTATTGACCTTCCTTCCTCCAAGAGAACATATCAGCTTGTTCTCATCTCGCTGGGTGGCTATGTATTAAGGAAGCTGCTCCTTAATGCCGCGGATGAGTGTGCTTTCTCTCCGCCTTTAAAGTGAGACACTTCTTGTACGCCGTATTGAGTGAACCTTTTATTGTTTATGGAGAACCCCCGTGGGGGCTGTTTTATCATGAACTCGACCAATTTTACCCACTCTTACGACCACCTAAACTAAACCACCGGTCATGAGAACCAGCAGACCAACCACTTGGAGAGAGAGAGAGAGTGGTCGAGTTTGCTAGGAAAAGTTGGGTTGTTTATTTATATTTATGTTTATTAGTAGATTTAAAAACCTTGCAAATTTTTGGATGCATTAATAATGAGATATATTTGTGTACAGTACTTATTAATTAGCGAAATTAGAGATTATGAGTAAGAGAAATTTTTTGTGTTTGTGATTGTAATTTTGATTGTAGATGGATCAAATATAACATAAATATTTGCAATCAAAGTTACAATCACAATCATAGAAAATTACTCAGTCGCATTACTTTTGTGTATCAAACAGATTTAATCTAGATATGTACAATTATATAGTTTTTCGACATAATTTCATAATCGGCAGTTACGTTGACCGTTAACAAACTAATATTTGCGTTTATTTATTTTTTGCAGGAGCGATGCACCCATCGCATTAAGCGAATGGCATCATATCCACGTGTCGAGGACGTCGCGACTAATTTCTCTTCGCATAGATAACCAACCCCCACTCATGGTAAGGGAAGAACGTAATATTCGTCTTGCGTTTAAATCACAGAATTAGAGGAGTAATACTATATTACCTCTAATATAGTAATACTATATTAGAGGTTTAAATATTTATCGTCATTAACTATTGTCATTAATTATTTGTAGGCTCTTACACCCGGTGCTTTCACTCAGGTGAGTTTTTCCAATTTAAAATAGATAAAAAGAAATATGACATTTACCCATTAAACACGACACGCATGCACACATAACTCGTCAAAAAGTATATAAAATCGGGCCGAAATTTTAATTGATTTTACCCAGAAATCCATATAATTACTACTTTTATATGCCCACAATGGTAGTGAGCGAGCAGTGTTTCGGGTGGAAAGTAACCACTTACAAGAAATAATGGCAAGAAAGTGGTTTCTTATACTTATTTTGACCTGCAAGAAATGCAAGGCGCAAGAAACCACGCCCCGCCGCTATACTTCATACGGCACGTGACTACTTAGATGGCGCATATTTCTTGCACTTTCTCCCAGTTTCTTGCACCTCGCGTTTCTTGCCTTTCTCGCTTTGCACTGCAAGAAATGTATCAAACCAGCAAGAACCGAAACACTGACTCTGAGAGAGAGGCAGGTGGACAAGTCAATCCACTTTCACCACCAAAATCTCCCCACCCTGCCCAAAATTCCACTCATTTCGTACCTTCACCCTCACTTTCTCCTCTCCCTTGTTCCCGTCAGCCATCCATTTTTCTATGAAGCGTGTGATTTATGGTTTTATCATTGCGGACTGAATACAAGCAGCACACACAACAATGATTTATTCTCCAGCGAGGGTTGTGTATCTGGGCATTACGAGTCAAATAGTGACCCACGCACCGTCCACTGCTTTCTCTCCTCATATAAAATAATCATTAGTTTCTCCCCAACAACAAGAGCCATTCATTTCCCATTCACCATTTTATTTCGATTTCGTGACTACCCTCCGTTAACAAAATTTTGATAGTAATATATCCCGTGCTACTATTTGGCAGATAAAAAAGGCCGTTAGTAGAACTCGCCAGCCAGCCTGATAAATATATTTCAAAATTATGATCATCCCAAAAAAAGAGAATTACTACACTTTCCTTTTCAACTTGAGAACATCTCTTGAGTCAAATATTCAACCGTCTTGCAATCCACATCACACATTTATTGCTATACAACTGCCACGAGTGCTGATTGATGACCGTTTCTTCCTGAGGTGGATGGATACTTATTTACAATGGAGGTTTCCCAGCGTATGCATTCAGATTTTGAGCAAACTAGTGCCAATCTATCATAAATTTAATTGATATGAAATTTGCAAAAGATACGATCCCCCAATGGTCACGTTTGACGGAGATATTTGCATCCGAAGAGGAGAAAATGTGCGATAAATTCGGAAAAAAATGTGTAAAATTTGTCAACTTTAAGACGCGCTTTCTCCTCTTCGGATGTAAATATCTTTGCCAAACGTGACCATTGGAAGGTCGTATCTTTCGCCATTTTAATACTATTAAATTTGTGATCGATTGGCATTAATTTGCTCAAAATCTCCGAGCATACGCTGGAAAGCCTCCATTTTTAGATACAACACAATCGAAATGCCCCGCACAACGTATCCCTTCCTCTCTCAAAGTGAAAGCTGTGTTACGATACGATACGAACTGGATGGATGGATGGATGGTAGAATTCATCCATACAGAATTAGCCCATTAATTACTGGATCCTTACTACGTACTTACTGCCCACACACACACAAATTTCGTCCAGCAAGGAATCGATACTTTCATTACCGTGATTGTTTTTTTCTTCTCTTTCTCGCACAGTTGTCACTCCCACATAACCTTTTCCTCGGTGGGATCCCCGACCCAGACTGGCTTTCACCCAAGGTTAAAGTCCAGGGAGGATTTACTGGTTGCATTCAAAAGGTAAATAATCACTTTTGTTCCACTACTTGCTTATTGCTTAAGAGGAAAAAATGCGCGCAGAATTTTACGAGGGCGACGTAACAAGCAAGAACTTGAGAGAAAAAGATCTTTTACTTGGTACGTAAAACGAGGGTCGAGTTGTGTATGTGCACGTGAAAGTAACGAGCGTATAAATAAATTATTGGGAAAGTTTTACTCTACGAAGGACGACCAGCAAGATTTTCTGCGTATTTTAGGTTCCTTTTCCTGCCTCAGATTTTTGCAGGTATTAATTCCATTTCTGTCCTTCCTTCCTTCGACTACCTGAACTTTCAGGGTTGGTGAAAGTTCACGGGTGAAAGTGGAGTTAACTAAGAGAGAAGAGGACGACGACATGCCTAACACCACGCCCATGTGTCTTAATTACGCGAGCTCAATCTCACCCACTTTCACCTTCTTGAAAGGGAAGAAAATGCATATCAAAATCAGAGGAGGAGGAGGAAGCCAAGTGAAAGAAATGACGGAGGAACACCTGCTACCTGCCGTAAAGTTGGTCGTGGGGTTGCTGGTGGGGAACGTCCATAAATTATGTGATAGTATAAGCCTACGGTAAAAAATAAGGCATCGGATTTAGAAAAGGCTACATTTCCCACCTAACTGAACTAAATTTTGGCTATTTTCACCACCAAATATGCTTAGATTTCCATTTAAGTAACGCCTCTTGGCCGCTTAAATGATTTGCCATTTATGTATAATTTTTCACATTCAAATTTATCGCGATAATTTTGCATTAATTGCATAATTAGTACGATTCTTTCCACATCAATGCATTGCGGGCCATATTTAAGATTTTGCATCAAATTTTAGATATTTTAAGGGACGCGAATGGCGTGATATCTTGAAATTTGTGAACGTTCCCATTTCGTGCTGTGTGCAAGTAATGTGTAGAGAAAATTTTGGTTTTAAGGCCGCAAGTCATTTGAAGAATGTCGTAAAGCATTCATCTCCTTCCATAAAATGAAAAGGGGTATATAACAGGTAAGGATAATGAGTAATGGGGCCAGGTAAAGTTGGGAGGTAGATGTACTCCTGGCTGGCAGCACATGTTGAATACCCGAGAGAAAGCTGGCTGGCTGGGAGAATAAAGAGTTAGTTTTGCAAAACTTTGAGGTATGTGGTCTGGAGAAAGTTAGTTGGCAGGCAGAAATATGCATCGGCTATGACCTCGTTGCTGTGCTTCTTCTCCTGTATAAATAGAAAATTAAAACAAACAACAACCATTCAGCATGATTATTATGCAACAAAAGTGGTGAAAGCATATTATTATTGCAAGTGGGCGACTTTGCGTGGGTTAAGTAATTATTAAAATATGGTGGGAAAATTTCTTTGATTATGTAATTTTGTATCAAACTTTTGCAACTTTCTATCAAAAATAATAGCTTTACCTGGGAAAAGTTAGCTTTTAATTAATTTGCTTTCGGGTAAATCAAATCTACGTAATTAGTAATTTGCTTAGTGTAAAATTTATACTTTTTATGTGATTGACTTTAAATTTGTAAATTATTTAAATAATTTGACCAGAATTGCAAGTTAGAATATGGCATTTATCTGAATTTGCATCATTTTGACTCATTAGTTCACCATCTCGCGTAATATGTACATAATGTCTGACATGATTTGTTATACGTGTTCCTCTGCATGTCCAACTTTCTACATGTTCCGTCTTGTCGAGAAAGTTTGAGTTTGTCACGAGAAATGGGATGCGTACTTTATTCTTTGTTTGCTACTACTACTTTCACTCTGAGGCAATAATAATGATTGGCTTTGACTGAATGGCAAATTGTGGTATTAGCAATTTTCCCAAAAAATTGGTGAACTTTATATCAAGAAAAATTCTGTTGGTGAATTTTATACTATTAGAGTTGTATAACGTAATGTAATAATTGATCAATGAAAAGTATGTTTTTCCACAAAAGTGTTTGTGACACAAGTTATGGTTAACGTAGGACCCGACCATTCATCACCAAAATCGTTTAAAATCAACACATATGGAATCATTTCTCGGCCCTGGGATTTTATTTTAAAATTCGGGGCGACAAATTTGTAGCCAATTGGCACCGACCTTCTCTGAAAATTGTCGTTTATAGTTTAAAAATAAATTGCCAAAGCCGATAAGTGATTAAAAATGTGACGATTTTGGCGTTGAGTCCTACGTTAAAAATATAGCCAAATTTACCTTTGCCACTTTCTCCGAACGACCCAGATTCTCGTTACGTTTTCTCTTTGGGAGTTGAGTTTGTTCTTGTTTTGTCTTTTGCTACATATTTCTTTACTTTGACTTCATTCCTACACCGTTTCACGAAGAGATAGCGGTGCTGGTGGTGGTGGTGGAGCCAGGAGGAAAGAGTTTAGAAATTGGAGAAGAAAGTGCCCAAGAGGCCACATGTAAAATGGAAATGTTGGTTTGTTTCTGATTGTTTGTTCGCTTGGGAGGATACGTTTTCCTCGTTAGGCAGGCAGAAGAAGAAGAGAAACCATTAAAATTGTCGTCACAAGTCAACAGACAACTTTAATAGGTCAAAAGTTCGTGACATTTGATGCCGTGTTTTTTTTTTAGAAAATAACGACATTATTACGAACTAAATGCAGTTGTTGGTCATCAACGAGAAGAAAAGTTCATGGCATTTCATTTATGCCGTATTTTTAGAAAATAATGACAAAAATCATTACAATTTTCAGCTGGTCATCAACGAGAAGCCCCTCCGAATCATGGGGTCGGCCATGTCGGGCGTAAATCTGGAGAATTGTGAGCATCCCTGCCTCCGCAACCCGTGTGACCACGGAGGCGATTGCGTCCCATCGCTCGACACTTTCAAATGTCACTGCCCCCTCGGCTTTCGAGACCCCTATTGTCAAACCAGAATGGATAAAGAGGACGTCATCACGGCTCCCAAATTCATTGGTGATTCATACCTCCGGTTCACTAATCCGCGGATTATCAAAAGGTATCCAGCGCCAAGTTAAGGAATGATGTAACGCCGGAAATCTTGACATTTTTCCAATTTTGGTCTAGATTATCAGGGTGGCGACTCAACCTAAGTTTTAGTCTGAAAACGGAGTCCAGTCGAGGGCTGTTGATGTGGGCGGGGCGGAAGTGGATGACGTCGGCGAGCGATTTTATCAGCATGGGGCTCAGAAACGGTATTACATAATCTTGAATTAATGCAAATCTGGAAGAACATAGATGGATGACTGGTTGTTCATTGGAAATTATGCAGGTCTTCTCACGGCGTCCTTCTCACTGGGTTCAGGCCAGACCACCATTGCCTACAACTACACCACGGTCAACGATGGCCGCTGGCATCGCGTCATTCTCGTCAGGTAAGGAGAAACGCGGTTGTAATCGATGAAGTCTTCCTGTATATGCTCTTCGATTTTTACCAAATTAGAAAATGTGAAAAGTGTAAAATTTGCAAACTTTACTGAAAGTTTTCTCCTCTTCAGATGCAAAAATGCAAACGTGATCATTGTGTCAGGTCTTTTGGAAATTTCGTATTAATTAAATTTATGATCTAGGGACACTAAATAGTTTCTTTAAAATCTGAGAGCATACTTTGGGGTGGGACCCTGAATGATAACCATTTTATATGATTTTGTGTGTACAGAAATGAGCAAGAAGCCAGCCTGTCGGTGGATGACGGTCCACCCGTGACGGGAATAGCGCCCGGCAAGCTGCGCCAACTAAATATCAACGACGGCCTTTATATTGGTGGGTGTCATGATTTGTACGATTACGAAAAGACAAATAGTTAGTTAAATATTAATTGGTGGCTTATTAATTATTCAGGTGGTTTGGAAGAATCCAGACATCACAGTGTGAACAGATACATGGAGGGTTTCGTGGGCTGTCTGACCGACATGGTGTTGGGGTCGGAGCGGGTGGCACTCCTCCAAGAAGCGTCGGAAGGGAGGAATGTCGACTACTGTGACTGAGCACTTATTTTGTCCACGTCAATTTAAATTTATTCATAACTAAATATTTTCACTTATTACTACATAAACTATTTAATTAGCTTTTACAAACTTTCACCTCGTTCCGTTCAAGAGAAAAGTATTGTTTTATCGTCGCAAAATTGCTCTCACAGCTTCCACCACGTCACACGGATGAAGAAGATAGCTCTAGAAATACGTACGTACTTCTAACAATGTGCCTCTAACTAAAAGTATAATTCTGTAAATATTTCACATTCCTCTACATAAAAAACTACGATTGGTTATTGTAATTAATTAATTAATTGTAATTAACTCTAACTAGCTAATATATCTAAGTTAGGATGAAATATACAGTAAATTGTATCATATCTCGTAAGGGCCACAAAGTCATGCAAATTGTACATAACAATTTTTGACAGAGCAACTTCCCATGTCATAAATCATGTAAAAAGAAAGTAATCTTACGAACCTTACTAACTTTCACATTTTAGAATACTAGTCTAGTTTTCGAATATTTATCATATATTAGTAATTAATTAATTAATTAATTAGCTAAATGTAGCGTACAAAAAAATATATAGGACTAGAAATAAGTACTACTAATTAATCATACAAATTATTATCTACACACCGCCTCAGTTTCTCCTTTTCGATTCTGCTGATCTTTTCCATCCTCTGCCACCACCGCGTTGGCCGGAAGTGACGAAAAATCAGAGAATATTGCGGACGCGGCAATCTAGGTTTGGAAACGTAATCCGGGTCATATAATTGGCGATAAGTGACAAGTAAACCTTACTCCAAGCCCGGCCCTACCTCCGAATCTTATGCGTTGTCGTCAATCATTAATTCTATCTAAAAGAAAGAAAAAAAACAGTCTAAAAAACACACAATCAGAAAAAATCATAATTCACACCCACCAGAATCTATAACAAAAACTGTTTTTGTGTCTATCTCTCTACTAATTACATACCTACCTATTGTCTGTTTTCTCTTTAGAAGCGCTGTTTGCTATCATCACTGATAGCAAATTCGTCAGTCATTCGTAAAAAATGTGCGTTGTCCGAAACCAGAAATTTTTATCCAGCAGTATATACTAACTTATTTATTGTCTGCACATTTAGTAAGTCATACTTATGGTAAATACGATGCATGTAGGAGTATCTAGTTTGCTAATTATGTATCAATTATCTCATACATATGAATTTACATATATTTATAAATAGCTATGGGACCGTACTTACAGCGTGTGATCGATTTTCGGAGAATATTGACCCCTACGGCACACCCCTATGTTATAGGTAATTATCATGGCAAGGATAAAATCCCTTGACCTCTTGACCCCCTCAAATCGATCACATGCTTTATGTACAAGTCCCTACGCAAAACTGTCCAATAGTTTATTATCACTCCCCAAAGTGGACGTGGAGATGATGGGTTGTTGAGACGTGAATTCGCACGTGTGTCATATTAGAAGTTTAGAACAAAGGGTGACATATGAAATCTGTATGTCGCAAAGAATATAAGGTCACAGAGTTAGTTAGTAAATATGTATCTAATATTTAAATAATTGTGCTTTTTTGTGTTGGTTAATTAATTATAGCTTAATCCTAAAAATTCGGTCATAATACAGATATTTCAACAACAAATATATAAATATATGTGATATTATTTTGCGGTACTTACTTATTTCGGCTAACAGCATTCTGCACATTAAGATTAATTAGCTAACTAATTACAGAAATATAATTAATTCCTAACTAGCTCAGCTCAGATTAAGGTTGTAATTAGTAATTATTACTAACTACATATTATGTATTATGAATAATTAATATCAAATACTTTTTCTTACACGGCTTAAGTATCTATCACGTATTTATCAGCTTGTCGGCATATTACTTCAATAAATAGCTGAGAAAAAAAGCAGGCTTTTACAAATTGTTTGTTAATTTAAGAAAGCTAAAACCCCTGCAAAACTTGAGTAATAATAACTTGTAAAAAATATATCAAGTTAAAAATATACAATAAGCAACATATCACTTGACTCGAAATCAAACGCCCAACAACAATAATGAAACGGTTATAATTTTTTCCCCGTCACAAAAATAATAATACTGAATGCAAAAGTACATAGATCCAATTACTTTACATAACTGGTTTAAGACTACCTTAATTAGTTAATTAATTATCAGGAGCTGATGAAAATGTACAACTTTCTGTAAATTAAAATCTAATGTTAAAAGCAAAGAATGACATTTTTTGCAAGGTAATTGTTGCGGTAAAAGGTGGATATGATGATGGTAAAACATGTATAAAATGTATAAAGCAAAGTAATTGACCGGATTGTTAATGAAACTAAAATCTTTTCAGTTAAATATTTCCCAAATTATGATATTATGCATAATAAAAGGTAACCATTAGGTAAAAGTTATGGTATCTATAAAATATGGATTAGACGATTGAAATGTGTTTAATATGTATGTATGTAAGTACTAAATTATGCAACTTAAATTGATTAAGGCCCGACCTACATGAATAATCTGAATAAAACTTAATTTTATTACTGAACTCATTTCTACCAGCTATGTCCATTTTTTTTGTTTATCTGCATAATTACTAAAAACAAAACTGAATGAAAGAACAATTCCCAGAGGATAAAAAAAGAAATTAGAAAGCATAAGATTCCATTGTAGCAAATGCACAAGTAGTATGGATACATTCCAAATAGTTTATTCTGGGTGTAGACGATCGACGACTGAAGTTAATCGAGCCTCAATAATTGTCAAGTGGCCTTTTGTCACTGATTGAACTTGGGGTAACCCCGTCAGTATTTCCATGTTCTTGGTGGCTTCATGAAATATTTCGTGCTTGTCCCCATACTCCTCGATTGAGGCCCCAACCACCTCAGTCCACATGTAGCAGGTAGCCTCCAGCCACTTTATTTGCTCTGCATCAAAAGGAAACAATTTTTGATTCAGTATTACCTTTCACTAAAAAATAAGGAAATCATGAAATATTTTTCTATTTAATTACCAGTTTCATATCGAAAAAAATCAGTGCTCTTTAAATTCCCAAGCACAATGAAGTAGAGATTATAAATCTTCTTCATACTATTGTACTCCGCCACGGTAAGTAACGGATGGGGACCATTCGGCGGAGCCCTTTCAAGTCTGCCATTAACATAATAGTGAACCTGGTTGATTACATTGGCGAAAATCATCATCTTATCAAGGCGAAAAAACCAGTCAGTTGTTTTGTAATAACTCGTAACCACGTCTCCTAGCTTATCGAATGGTGTATTCGAAACTGCCAGCAATACAAAATGCTAAAATTAAAACTTGATTTAAAGGAAAAGTGAAATTGTTTGATCTTACATTGTCCAAGGATCGTTCTCCGCACACTTTGGAAATGCAGACGTCGATAGTCCACCCCTTTAGAACCTTTACATACTCCGCATGCTCTACACTTCCATTCCACTTTACGAGTTCGGTCAGGCCTTATCGTCAACACTGGATGCAACGTTGTCTTCTTCAACTTTTTTTCGCACAATGCTGGGTATCCCCAGAGTTTTCGGAGTTTTCCCAGTTGAAGCATATTTCCTGTCTCTTCCCCCTGCAGGATTAAAAGGCACACTTAGGTTAATAAACGCCACTAACTAACTTAATAAATCCACTTTTTCCTATACCAAGCAAATTGTGCATGCTGACGAAGTGCACTCCTTCTTGTTACTTGATCGTTGCACATTTAGATGATCACCAAATCCAACCGTATCCGAATCGAATATGGGATTCGCAATGAGTGCTGAGCTTCCATACTGGTATATCCCCAAACTCAATATCTCATCCTCCTTGACAGGCCTAAGAGTCTTCAAGAGGACTCGATTCGCACCCAGTTCCTTCGTCAGGATGATATTTGGAATACATCCATAGTGGAACTTGACTCCAAGCAGGACGCACTTGCTAATAACGCTAAAAGGTTATATTTGTACAGAATGAGCACAATTACTATAACCAACCACATTAGTAAATAAAGCATCTCACCCCGCGTGTGCATCCATCCAAGAAATGCTAGCTGCATGTACAGCGTAGTAGAGAAGCGTATCCACGATGCGTTTTACGTCGATGGTACTCCAGAGCCGAAAAGTAGAAAAATGATTCTCAAACTCTTTCAAGAACATGTTAAAATATTTCTCATCATCATCATCACGCGTAATGTCAAAGGAATAGGAAGTCCTCTCGTTCATAAGAAGCTCAAAACAGTTAAACAAATCCTTGTTCCTCTTTTGCAGGATAGATAGCCGCATGAGTCCCAGCATCCAGAAGGCACGGTCGCGATTCATTAGCATCGGATGTCTTAATCCTTGTGATTCAAATGAACGAGCGAAATTGGTCAAGTCTCTGCATTCTTTGCCATGTTGCTAACAAAAATTTTTAGAATTTTGTCAGAGATTTATTTCTGAATTTTTAATACCCGCCGTTGTAAACCAGGAACGAAATATCATGGCATTAGAAACATTTATATACAAAAACATGATGTGAAGTAAATCAATTTGTGAAACATTTCGCTCAACAATACCTTTTTACAATCAGGGCCAGGACACACTGGCCATTTGCACTTTTTGCAGTTAGTGGCCTTTATTTCATCAATGATAGCATACTGGTCTACAGCCTCTTCGACCCAATTTTCCTGATTTACGACGCCACATTGAATGCAAGGTACTTCGAAGACGGATTTGACAGATTTCTGATGCCAGTAATACGCGACGCTGCAAAAATAATTGGAAAATGTGATATGATGATGTTCTTCAAGGAAGAAAAATGGATTACAACAATACTGATCAAGCACATACGTACCGCGGTATTTCAAGGATTATCGGCATCTCAGCCACAACGTGGTCTCTCATTGGAAGTTGGACCGTACTTTGCAACTCCCCAGTCCCTCCCTCAGTCCGGTACTTATAAAGCACGCAGTTGTGGCAACCCTTCTCTTTGCATACTTCAGAGCAGAAAACGGTCTTCTCCGGACAGGTAAACTGACAGTACAGTTCCCCCGCAGCGCCTCTTCGTCCCACGCTCCGCTGGCATGTCTGACATGCTGAACGGCCATTTCGACAAAAATCAAATGCCCTATTCGCTGCTCTAATCTTATATCTCTTGTGCAGATCATCATTCCGCGCGTTCTGCAATTAATTCAACAAACGTCATTCATCCAGGTAAGGTAAATGAATAAAATGTCCTTAAAAGTAGTAAAAGAGTGATGTATTTTTTCCACACTCGTCGTTGCAATAAAGGAAGTCGATAGTTGCCCTCTTTATTCTTCAACGACGATTATCTTTTGTGTTATAAAAAAGAATGGCGAATTGGTAAACTTACGGCCCTCGTCAGCAAGACCAAGGCTGCTTGACGATCTTTGGAAATGCTTGGCACAACGGACAGCGAGTCCTTATTTGAACGTTTTTCAACTTTTCCTACTTTTCCAACTTTTCCTTTCTTCTTCCTAGAAACAGACTTCTTCCTTCCCTTTCTGGCCTTCGCCTTCGCCATTTTCTAAATTCTTACTCCTTAATAACTTTGCAAAAATTTAAAAATTTAAAAATTTAAAATCAAAAAAATTTTTGGAGCGAATATTAGAGCGAACGAGCCTGACGAAGAGACGAAGATGACAGTAGAACAGAGCCACCTGGGCGAAGAGCCATGCAGCCATAATACATTGGATGATAGACGAGACTAACATTGCAGGATGGCTGTTCTTTTTGAAGCGCATTTTAAACTAATAATAAAATAATAAAATAATAATAATAATGGTCATAAGTATTTAGTAATTTTGTAAAAAGTGAATGCACATTTCCTGGTATATTCTTGCATATTTTTTTTGCATAAAGCACGTCTTGTGGAAAGGATCGAGAAAGAAAGTATCTCAACTTTCGTGCGTCGAGAAAGTTGTCTCACTTTCCCCGTAACCGGCTCAGTTTGAGAATGTTGATTGCGCGAACAGAGAAGAATTTTCGTTTTTGTTTTTGGTGATGAGGAACGAAATTCGGAAATCGGAGTGACTCACAATCACAATTTGTAAAATTAAATCATTGGTGATTAGTGGGAGTTGAGTTGGACGTTAGTTATTAGTGACTTAGAAGCAACTCAATACTGGTTCGTTGGTGGACACGAAATTTGGACACAGGGTGAAGTAATTGCAAAAAAATTGTACTTATTTGACAATATTAAACTGTTTAATATTGTCAAATTAAACAGTTTAGTCAATTACGCTTTTTGAATATTCACAGATCTGGAGTTGCTGACATTTGCTGTCATCTCATCATGACAAATTTAGACGGAATGACGGCTTCCGAACTTCGTGAGAAATTATTGGAGCACGGACACGACATCCCCTCCTCGATTAGTAAAGACTTTATGGTGAAAACGTTGAAGAAAGCGATGGAAGAAAAGAAAAAGACTTCGACAACGGCTGGACCTCAATCGACGGGAAATGTGACTAGTGGTCGGAAGACTCCGCCAAGAAATGTAGACCCACCACGAGCAGTCGTTCGCCCTACTGCTCCAGAGATATCTGCCCCCACCACCACGCCACCTCGAACTACAAGGATGTCAACTTCTCGAAATAATGCGAGGCAATCTGTTGGTGGGGTGGTGTCTAACAGTGACCTGCCGAATGAACCACTACGTCGAAGTACTCCGGCACGAAGGGGAGGGTTAAAAGCCACTCGCCATTCTATTTCAAATATTCCACCGGTGAGGGTGAGGACGCCGCCGAGGACTATTGTTTCATCATCCAGACGAGGTAATTGTGTAGTACCACTACTAATTATTTTACACATTTCACTCTTTTAATAATATTGACTTAAACAAAATACGAATTATACAGAGGTGTATCAAGAAGACGATAACGAAGAAGATGACGAAGAACCAATGTCACAAGACAGCAGCGCTGTCGGATTCTGGTCGCAACAGCAACAACAACCGACACAGCAAATTCCGACAAGATCATCCCTTCGTCCCTCACCTCTCAAACGTGCAAGACCAAGTGACAGTCCGAACCACCAAACGCATTCTTTATTTGGAAATGCTACCACAGAGGCATTAATGTCATCTATGGACTCGTCAGGATTTGTGAAAAGGCAATCTTCAACTATAAGTTATTCGAGTCCGTCAACCACTTCGAAAGGAAGGTTCGGACTTATTGTGAACGGGAGAAAGGTATCTGACCTGATTAAATATTTTTAATTAATATAATCATCACTATTTTAATTGTTAATAAAAACTGTGTTTTTAGATACAAACTGATTGTATTCCGAATGACGAGTTGAATCCAGGCAAATTCATATTCAATATTCCAGACGCGGATTCCGTAAAGATTATTGTGGTATTTCTACCTGAAAGTGAACAGTTCACTCCTGGTTCGTCAATTATTCATAATTAATTATGTTAGGTAGGAGTATCGGTAATTAGAAGTGAACTATCGATCTTAGATCGCATGTCTTATTAATTTCTACACAGGTACTGCGGGACAAATCTACTTTGGCTGGCCTGACGAACGAAACGAGATCAAATGGCATATGCTGGGACATATTTCAAATATTCGGCCCTCTGCCATCTTCGATATTAGTGATTTTAAGCAAGCCATCGTCCCCGCCGCTGGAAATTCACGTTTTTCTTTCGGAGTCTTTGCTTCTGGAAACAACAATACCCGACGTTTAAGCGGACCCACTAATGCACAGATCGGAATATCAATAGAATCCTTACAAGTCGTCGCATCATCAACGCATCCTCAAGTGCAACTCTAAACCCCATAAATTTCGAATACCCTCATAAATCAAGAAACCTAAACCTTCTAGGAATACTAAATTTCAGCCTTAAATCTAATCCAACGTTGTATATTCAAATTATCGAACTGAAGACAGTGCTATAAATAACTTAACTTAATTAAAATATCATTCAAATTTACTGTATTATTGTTAACATAATAAAGACCTGTATATAAAAAAATAAGGTCAGGATTTGGTACTCAAACTCAAACTGTATTTTATGGAGCTGTACACCGGTGCGGAGAAAGCATTAAATATCATGAAATAGATAATTAAACTCTAATCATTCATTTATTCCTTATTAGTTTCGTCACCGTTTGGTTTCTGCTAAAAAATACTACATCACAATTTTTAGCAAGCTTGCAAAAAATCATAGCCATTCGCAGATTTTATTCCCGAATGTTCATGGCTCATGTAAATGCAATTCATTGCTCGATCATTCCATTTCACGTAGGCCGGGAAAGAAACCGGCTGCAAACATTTCTTTCCTGGAGTCGAAACTGGACAAGTTCCTGGAGTTTAGGTAAATTTAATTAGTTTGATAATTAAAGCACTCGAGCAGAACTTCATCAAAATTGCTAGTATTTATTAAACACGTTAATTATTAATTCCATATGGGGCTTGAATTACAATGGAGTCTTATCTTATAGTTCAAAATATTGTTCACATGGTGTAAAAGTTTCTTTCGGAGTGGAGAATCTACTAAAATATTGAAATACTTTTAAGTTCTGGAGTGATAAGTGAACGAGATTGAATTAAAGTTATGTTTGGGATAATAGTATCCGGAAGATTGGTGAGTGCTCAATTAATTTTTACTTTAGTAGACTGTACGTATTTTTAATTTAATTGAAATTATAATCTAAAATTTTCAGGTTCAAACAAATTTTGTCCAAGTGGTCACCGATCTCTCAAAGTTCATTATTGACATCCCACAAGCAGATTCAATTAATCATGTTGTTGTTTTTCTAACCGGGGCGACACCGTTTCCGGCTGGTATAAAATTGTTGAAGTATTAATTAATTAGCATGTCTGTCTTATTAAGCGTGTTTCTATTGTTTGCTAGGAATGGGTGGTCAAATATATTTTAGTTGGCCAGACCCCCAAGACCAAATTGTGTGGCATCTTCTCGGTCACATTTCCAATGATAAGCCGTCTGCAATCTTTAAAATCTCCAACCTTAAGAAAACCAATGATCCATCAGCCCAACTTGTCAACTCTATGAATTCCATGCTTTTTGGCCAGCCTGTACAATCTTCGGCACACAACGCTCAAATTGGAGTTTCCCTTGAACCGTTGGAGACCATTATGGGTATTATTATCATCAAATTCAAGATTGATGGTACGGTCATGATAACTATACAATCCATTTCCTATATCTAGGTACCACACCCGCTGCGACGACCGACCCGTCTGTGGTCCCCACTTTTATAGAATTTACTCAAAAGATGCTGGAAAATTTCTTCAATTATGTATCCAGTTTTGGAGATACGAATCACATATCCATGGCCGTGGTGCAGCAGTGGTATCAAAACTTTACTAGGAGATTGCAAGCCGATCCTTACTATTGGCGATAACGTCATCATCATAAAGGTGGAAAGTGTCCTAAACTTATTTGACCAAAAAGTCCAATGCAAATCTAACGGTATTCTAAAATTATTTCCTGAGGCTGTCAAGACCAATATCTACTTACAGATAGTTGTATATACAGATTTATGTCTTGTGCCTTTTATGGATGAGCTTTAAACTTATCGTTTCGAATAGTAGTGTCAAGTGTGATCAAGGATTTATTATAGCTTTACAGCTCTTTACGAGTATATGTCAAGTATATGTATTAAATATCTAATGATAATAGTGCAATATTTTAGTAATACGCAAATATGAAATTAATACTTTTACCTATTCTATAGATAGATTCCGATACCTTTATAAGTAGTCTGAAAATAACACATTACATATTTGTACCATTTTTAATGTAAGTAAAAAAAATACACACACCAATCTTTACCAGAACAATTATTACGATACGAATTCATTCATGCCGAAAATAACATATTATTCTTCGTGTCACGATAAGATAACTAGAAATTATGAATATCCACAAAAAAATCAAAATCTAATTTGCATGCAAAACAAAACTCATGCTGCATTCTTCACTTCTGTTCCTTATTCAAAATAGCTACTCCGAATAACTTCATACAACAAAGTTCGTCGGACCATTTAATTGATTTAAATGTTGGCAATGCAAAATAATTTCAATAATTAAATCAAACTAACTAATTAATTGCCGAATTAGAGTTAATTTTTTCCCAAATTAATTCTTGTCGCATTTTACCTCGGAGGTCGAGTGTTGTTATGGTGTGTGCCGGCGGGTGGGTTTGGTTGCGAGAACGGCCTCCACCGCCGCCAGTCGTCTCGACTTTTTTAGTGCTTTCCTTCCCACTGCTCCTGCCTGCCTGCCTGCATCTACTCTTTATTTTGGCCAAGAAAATCGTTTTTTTTTGCAAAAAGTTGACGGAAACGTTCTCACTGACAGCGACGTTGTTGTTGGAAGAAGGGGACGTGTCTTGTTTACGAGGGAGGAGACGGAAAATGTGAAGGTGAGCAAATTTATAAATGACGTTGAAAATGGTGAGGTAACTCACTCGTAATTGAGTGGTGACCTCAGACTGAGTCAGGTTGAGGTGAGGACGGTTCAAGTTCAAGTACTTTTTGAATTTATGCGTGATTAATAATAATTGTGGCTTTAATTAGGACAATGTTGTACTGGATGGATATTGGATGAATTGTTGATAATTTTGTTTTGTTTTGCATCTTAAATTTCAGATAATAACGGGCTGGAGTATTATTTTAATGTGATCTCTTTATCTGGCGAAACCGAATTCTCTTAATATACATCGAGCGAATTAAATCTAATCGTTTTAAATTTTGGTCAGCAACCATGGCATCCGGCTACGAGTCTCTGACCAATTTGGATCTTCGCAACAAACTGTTAGAATTTGGGTACGATCTTCCCATTTCGGTCAAGAAGGATTTTATGATCAAGACTTTAGAACGAGTGATGGCTGAGCGGAGGAAACAGCAGTTGCAAGGAAGAAAATCTCTGCCAGTAATGTCGTCAAACAGTAGACAAAGTACTCCAAGTTCGACTAATAATCATCAATTCGAAACGAATTCAAATGCAAGTACGCACTCACGGCAGTCACGCCAATCCACGGGGAGTAGCAGAGCTTCTGCTTCCAAGCAGCCTATCATGCCTCTTCAACCTAAAATCCCTGGTACCATGATACAATTTAGTTTAAGTTTAATTATGAAGTTTTGATTTCTTTGTGCACACTATTTTTTTAAACGTCTCATAATGTGTTTCATTTTAGTGAATGACGAAATTGTCGAAGAAGACGAAAACGAGGAGGAGGAAGAAGAAGAGGAAGAGGAGGAATCTTCTCAAGAAGAGCAGACGCCACCAACGTTTTCAAAAAGCAAAACAACCACAAACAGCAGTTCTAATTTTATGTCTCACACTTCGCATTCTACTCGTCCACAGCCTGATGTCGGTGGTCAGAACGGAGAATGGGAGGATCACGATGAAGAAGAGGAAAATCGGACGCCAAGCCCTCGCTATCAAAAGTATCTGAGCTACTTCAAGGGGGACATGAACAAAGCTGATCCATTCGTTATGCCACGAAGCCGTTACAGCTCTCCGGTTGGGTCGCCTTACTCGACAACGGCAACCGTTGGGAGTCCATCCTTCAGACGAAACCAAAGTTATGATTTTGACGACTCTGCCGACGAATCGGATGCTGAGCATGTTCCGGTCAACAATCAAGGTGGTCGAATTCGACATTTCTTCAGCAAAGTTAATCCCGTGAATTGGATACCAAATCCGAAACTGTGGCTATCTTCTTCTGGTGCAGCAAGACAAGAGACTGATCAAACTTCACGTAACCACCTCAACTTTAATTTCGGTTCTGCTGGTGGGAGTGGTGGTGGTGGGGACGGTCGATCCTCTCCTTTCACTCTTTCTCAGACCAGATACTCGATGACTAGTGGTGGTAATTCTCTGCCACCATCTACTCCTCTCAATGGCCATTTCCCAACGACATCCTCTAGCCGAGCCCAATTGGGGAACCAGATTTATTCTCCTGCTCAGCCCCCACCACCCGTCGTTCCTCCAGCCATGGCGGCAGGACGACAGGCCGGATTCAAAGCATTTTTCTCACGAGGAGAAAGAAATGGGTTTGGCTATCCCAGTGCTGCCGGGGCGTCAGCGGACAGTGCCCATCTCGTCCCCAAACTTCTCCTCGTCTGCTTCGTAGTTGCTATCGTGGGTGTCCTTGGAGCTTACTATTATAAGGCTTCCGTACAACCCGGCCTTCCCGGACCGGACAGTGATCTTAGTACTTTCTTTGGAGGAGAGGAAAAAGTTTCTCTCGATTCACAACAAAGGACTGCTCCACCAAAGCCAAAGCGATTGACTGGCCCGAAAAAATTGGTTTATCCGATTTGTGGGCAACCTGGATATGAAATTGAGGTACGTAAATTTACGTACCAAAATTTAATTTATTAAATTTTGGATCCATATTATTTTTAGTTGGTGGTAACTTAGAATGTATACTAACGATTGTAGAATATATTGTGCAATTCTAGCCATGCGTTGAGAAGGGAGTTATCCAAGATTCTAAAATACTTTTCGAGGCATTAAAAGCTGAGCTTACTCAACGCAGCGTACGAAAAAGCTGCGGTGACATGGTTGAAGATAAGATCTCTCTATTAAAAGCCAAAGAACTTTTGTATCGACTTGTTGAACTGGTGAGTTGTCCGTTGTAATTCAAATTAACTTTGTCAAGAGAGTAATTATTATTTTGATGCTATAATTTAGAAAAAATCTGCCGTGGACACTGCATTTGAAGGGATGTTAATGTTGGTCACTGAGAATCCTACTTCTGGAGTGAAAATTTGCGCAAATAATAACGCTGATGAGATGGTCAAGATTGGAGACCTTGTGTCTTTGAACAATGAAGAAGCCAGCATCACAATTGACGGTGTTTCGCCCACATTTTGGTGCATGTTGGTTAGCTTCGTCTTCTCGATTTTGATGTATGCCTTCTACTTTACAATAGGTGAGCCTGAACAAAACGATTGATAATAATGAATGATGATGAAATAGTGTCTAATAATGATCAATTTAAACTAATGTTAACCAATTAATTTTTACTTCACATTGTTTCAGTGGGCATCATTGGATATGGAACCATACGAGGGCTCAGATACCGTCGACGACTTCAAGCTCATGAGGACGACGAAATGTTCAAGTTGATTGATCGTATCGTAACTCTACTCCAGGAACACTATGAAGACGCAAAGTAGGACATATATATATTTATACTACGTATGCAAGATGGAAATTCATATTCATTGCGTATTTTTAATTTCCAGGCGCAATGGACACGATCAGTTCATCGCGGTCAATCACATCCGTGACCAGTTATTTTCCCACCGTGATAAGAAACAAAAGGAAGCCTTGTGGAATAAGGTCGTGGCAGAGATATCCACAAACGAGTCTCGTGTTCGTGAAGAAATTCAACATATTAGCGGTGAAGAGTTTAGAGTGTGGCGTTGGTTGCCTTCTGCGAGTCCACTTGCGAAACGAATGTCATCTGCACCCTCATCTCCTGGAGGTATGTAACTTAAATATTTAATGATTCTTATTTAAGGTATTAATTTCCAATTATGTGTGTGACACAGGAAGTGGAGATTCAACACCTGGACTGTACCCATCTCTTCCCTCAATGGACACCTCGAGCGCTGGATGTAGTAACCCTTCGACCCCATCAAACAGCCAATGGCAAGGACAAGCTTTTGAAATTTTCGACGGGAGCCCAAACTCCTTGGCACAACCCCCAACCACTTGTTTGAAAATTCGTCAAATGTTTGATAACTCAAAGTAAGACGATTAAACAAACAGACAGCATCATAACATGTAGAAATTAAGCAAATTAATTTACTCAACTAATTTTTAAATGTCCTTATTTACAGGGATGCTGGTGACTTTCGAATTGAACAAGCCATTCTTGAAAAATGTAGCAATGCAAATATTCTTCACATTGGAATTGATAGAAGCACACGAGAAGGTTGTGTCTACATTCGATGCCTCACCAAATCGGATGCTCGTAACGCCTATGGATCCCTCCACGGATGGTGGTTTGATGGCAAGTCCAATTAATTTCATAATTTTTTCAGTCATTTTTAAATACTTGGCTAATCTTCAATTTATTCAACCCAATTTTGTCTCACGTAGGTCACTTGCTTTCAGTAAAGTTTCTCCGAGAAGACCGATACTTTCACCGTTTTCCAGACGCCCAATTCCGAACTACTCCTCTTTCTACTGCCACTCTTGGATCTGGAGGAGGAGGAGGAATGCAACAACAGCCCCTTTCAGGTCTTACCAACAATCTGAACATCTACTCCTCCGGCCCACCACCTGCACAACATCAAGGCATTGAAGAAGGTCCTTCTGCCAGAGCCCGTTTCTCACTGGGCTACTAGACGTTGTACCGTACGTTACGTAGTTGTACGTTAATTATTATATAATTTAGCCTTAAACATGTAACGAATCACACACTTTTGAGATGAAGAGGAAGAATTAACAATTCTCTATTATTTATTCAAATTGATTTCACTTAAAGTTAACAAGTTTTTGTCCAGGGATTGATATCGTATTATTCTAAATATTACCAGTATGTAATTCATTACTTAATTTGTACTACTTTACTGTACACACACACCAACCACCCAACCAACCCACTAACACTGTGCGTACTTACTTTATGTACATGAAAATTGGAAGTAAAAAATATTAAAAGTGAGATGTACCTATATATGTATCTTCTTATGTACATGAGCAACTTGTGCAAATTGTATTTAAACTTACTTGACTTAATATTAATTAATTAATGAGGGGATGATTCGCGATAGAATGGAAGCGACTCAACTCTTACCTTAATCAATTATTAATTAATATAATATAAAAATAATATAACATGATAATAATACTTTTTTTGTGAAATGAACTGATGAAATGAAATGATGAGATACTGAAAACTAATTATTTCAATTCTTTAATTGTAAAACTCTCGTGGTTTGAAATAAATGAACAAGACTATTAAAGCCAAAATCAAGTTATGCTTTTCATGTGACGCAGTATTATGACATGACACTTTCAACTTGTCGTATTTATCTATTGGTGAAGATGCTGCTGGGTCGATCTTCTTCATCCATGTAGAAGCAAAATCGCCTTTGGCGAGGCCAATAGGTGATCCATTCTAATAATTTAATTTAGCCTACAGCTACCAAGACCACTTACTTACTCGCTGTGAGTTAATAGCTGCAGGGGCTTTTCCATATTTAGGGAAACTGCTGCCACTATTACTTGCAGATCACATCAAGAAAAAGGAAGCAATTTGGCTGCTGGGCTTCTCCCCAGAGGCAAAACAAGCTACATACCGCATCTGCCGTACCACCAAAAATGATGATGAGGATGATACCATTCATTTAGCTTTGGGCTGTTTGAGTTATGCCGTGTTAACGAGTCGTCTCTGAACTAACTGCCGAAGGACATTTAACAAGATTTAACAAGTGGCCTGCAGCAGCGAATAAGTTGGTTCACGTACGAGTTCTTTTGCCCCACGGACAATTCCTCCGAGCTATTCCGCACTCATTTCGCCCAAGGGACAAATAAACTAACTAACTGCCGACGGCACTACCAAAAGTTAGTTTAGTTTTACTCCTCTCGTGGTGGTGGTGGTGTCGAGTTAGTTAATATCGCCTACAGGCGATAAGCTCGTGATGATGAGATACATGCACACACAGGAAAATGATGATGCTGCTGGGTGGAAATTATTATAACGAACGAATCCAACGGAAAGGCCTGAGGACAATTAGCAAAAGTAAAAGCGATGCGAGCTACGTACATGTCGATATATGTGACGTGGTGGTGATGCATCCGATCATGATTTTCGCTTTAATTTATTAATTAAATCAACTTGAACCTTATTAGGTTTATTACGCGACAGTACTTAATTGACACGTGCGTTATGAAATTTTGAAAAATTGTGAAGTACAAATGTCAAAGTTGGTTGCCGATAAAAAAATATTTGTATAATATTAGATTTTTTTATATAATTAGGTGTCTCCTTAATTTTAATTTCCTCCTCAAAACTTTGTGTTCACAAACAGAACAGTACAAAACAACAAGTACTGTTTTAAAAGCGAATATTTAATTTATGATATTTTTCTAAAAATTCGCAAAAAATTTCAAGTAAAAATGTCTAAGTTAGTTGCCGATTAAAAAAATGTTTTTATAAATTGAGACAATTTCACATAAACAGATTTTACTTTACGAATTTTTTTTTGTTCACAAAAAGTACAAAACAGTAAATATTTTTTAAAAAAGAATTGCATGCATATTTAATTTAAGAAACTTTGCTACAAATTTGCATATGGCTGAAACAATGAAATGAAATGAAAATGCCACTATCGACACCACCCTTCGAAACAAACTCCCTTTTCTCCACCTCTTCCACTCCTGACACGAAGATATTGACGTTTGTTACAAAATTCTGAAAAATTTTAAGCGAAAATGTAAAAGTACAATGTAAAACTTATTTGCCGATAAAAATATTTTTATAAATTGAGGAGATTTTATATAACTAGATTTTCTTCAGGATTGTCGTAGTTGTATATAATTTTGTATTCACTAACAGCACAAACCAGTAAACATTTAAAAACAAAATAAAATTGATATATTTCATTTATGAAATTTTGAAGTGCAAATGTCAAAGTTGTTTACCGATAGAATTTTTTTTTTAATTTGAGACGATTTTACATAAATAGATTCTCGAGGAGTGTCACCTGAAATTTTGTGCTCATAAACAGTACAAAGCAACAAATATTTAAAAACAGTGCATACATATTTAATTCATGAAATTTTCCTACAAATTTACATACGGAATAAAACAATGGAATGAAATGAAAATGCCACCACCCTTCGAAAGAAACAAACTCCCTTTTCTTCACCTCTTCAACTCATGACACGATATTTACATGCAGCTACGTATTAAATACTCTCCTCCGCAATTATAATAAAGTATTGGCTGACATATTCAACTACTAACACTTATCCCCTCTCATGCATCGCAATAGATAATATTCCACACTTATCGAGCCGACACATCAACCTTTCCTAGTTGTTACAGTGTTACAAATTATTCACTTACATATTGCCACCAAGTGGAAGTATATCTATGCACATACATAAATCTAATCTACCCCAGCAGTAGCATATCCCTTTTAAATAACTAACTACCTAATCTACAAATTCACTTGCACTACCACGAACAACCACCACTCAACCCCTGCTTAACAATAAAGGATGAGAACAGAAAACCCATTCTGAAAAATGAGACAGTTTCTTCCTCTAATAAGCAGATTGCATTGCATATTATGCACAAGTCTCGTACAAGACATGAACTAATCCCAAGTAATATCAAATAACAAAGCAAAATAAATGCAGCTTAGGGTTGAATAAGGGAAGGAAAATACGTCGTCGTGGTGGGAGAGGATGAAGAAGGGTTACGAACGATGATAGCAGCAATAATAATAGCAATTCTAATAAAATGTTACCCTCTCTCAGTTTCTGCAGGGAGTGAGTGAAAGAGAGCCTTATCTACCTCACAGGCCGTTTACTTTAGTTAGCGAATTTCGCGAAATTGCTCGCAGTTCTTCAACAGTTCTGATGAGTGGAGGACCACACTTACATACGTTACCTTCCCTTAATTCGCATGTGCATTACTTGAATTGGACTTAATGGCGAGTCAATGATACTGCACACGGAGGTTAAACTTCTTCTTCTTACGGCAGGAAAGCCATCTTCAAACTCATCTCTCGTAACTGGGCTTGATAAGAGTCTTTAAGTCTGAGTTAATTCGCGTCTTAATTGTGAATTGGATTGAATCCGTTCATCAACAAGAAGCACTGTGTAATTGGGGTCGATTGCTTAAAGAAAGTTTGTAAAGTTGTAATATTTTTTTATTACATATTTGCACACAGAAAAGTTTCAAGTTTTTGGAAAAAGTGAGACAACGACGACGAAATCAAATACAGATAAAATGAAATTGAAATCGAAATAACGAGAATAATTTCCGTCTTGTGGTGACGACGACGAGGATTAAGCGTGTGGAACAAAGAGACGAGTTTTTTTCTGCATGCATAGGATTTATGTGTTAATAATGGATTCGAAACTTTTTTAATTACTTCAAAAAGTGACATTTTTTAAGAGAGTAACGTAATAATATTAAATTATTACGGTTTAATAACACTTTATTTAGTGAAGTGTGAATTTTACTACGTTTTTTTCACAATGGGAGTGAAAAGGAGGAAAATTTTTGGGGAAACTATCACTCGAAATGATGGAGGAGGTGGTGACGATCAAAAAGCCGCAAGGAAATTAAGACTTGGTAAGTACCTGCTAAAAATAATATTTTTGAAAATTTCGATAAGAAGGCATGTCCCGTTTTTGTCGGCTTAATAAAAAAAATGGGACAAATACATAGAACTAGTCGTACCTAAATTTCTGTCAAGAATGCAATATTTTATTGAAAATTACATATCCATCAATAATTCAAAGTTTATTTTTGAAAATGTGAATAAAAAGGCACGTCCCGTTAAAAATGGGACAAATATCGTACCTAAAATAATACCTACGGCTCTCAAGAATGCAGCATTTTATTGAAAATTATGTATCAATACTTGAATCGTCCAATAATTCAATTGGTAATTAAGTAAAAAATGAGGATGTGAAAATTCCCACGGTTAAGTTGACATCAAAACTTGAATCAATACGCGAATAAATTATCCATCTGCTTCTCATGAATTGATGAATGACTTAATTCACTCAATTAAATTAATATCCTTCTCGTAAATGTATGTGTAGCACAATTCATGCAAATAAACCAACCTGACTGACCGGATAATCTAAATATATATAAAATTGCAATTTTCCTTAATCTACATCTCCATAATTGGTCACTCCACTTTAATTTTCAGTTCAGTTCTTTAATTTCCTATCCCCTTTTTTAAAAAATTTTTGCGAGTGAATGAAAGTGAAGACAGCATTGCAAAAAAATCAGACTGGGTATGCAAATGTAGGAAGCGAAACAAGAGATTTTTTTTCTCCTCTCTTTAATCACGAATTTTCTAGTCCGGCTGATTTTTTTAAAGCATATTGTTTCGCATCCTGTCCTGGTCCTTTAAGGAAAGTTATCTGTATTGTAAATGATAATAGATCATTTTCATACAGAAAATAATTTTTGCGTGAATGCGAGATAAATAATATGTAAATGGATAACTATTCGTCATTATTATGCAGTGTCATAAAATGTAATATAGTAATTATGGTGGTCTGTAAGTAACAACGATGATGAGGAGGACACCACCCAAAATTTGTCCTTGTGTTAAAAATCCTTCCTCAAGAAGAAAACGACCACTTTTTAGTAAACTTGACTTTTTCATGTAATTGTAAATAAAATAAAGCACGACCCCAAAATATTTACTAATAGTGCACGAGTTGGATATTCGTCCACGCTGCAAAACAAAAGAATTCATGTCCGTCAAGAAAGACTGATGGACAGCCAACCACCACCACAATAAAAGGGCTGGTAATTAACCTTTATTTAGAAAAAGGTAGCAATTTCTCAAATACAAAGAAAATGTGGAGTACACACGTATTTAAATAATAATCTAATGGAGAGGAGGTAATACGAATTTGTAGTGATTAATTATCCTGCTACTTATTGATACTGATGCATTTTGACAATCTCTTTGTTTGGCCAGGCCAGTTTTTGGGAAACGCCTTAAATCTTTACTCACAGGACAAAGATTATAAATATTCGCATGTCCAGTTAATTTGCATACACTATGTATGAAAATTGCATGCCAACTTTTATTTTTTTACAGTATAGGAATTCCATTACTTTAATAACTTTAAATACTTATTAAAATTCCATTCTTTTATTTTCGTAATAAATGAATTAGAGGAAAAAGAAGTTGACTGGCTGACTGCGAATAAAATTAATTGATTGACGAATTGCTTTGCATCTCTTCACCATAAATTTTGATCGAGCTGGTGAACTTCGATTGCACAGTGGGAAGCCAAAAACCTCGATGGTGTTAATTTTGTGCAGGTTGTTAAAACATAATAATGATGATAAGACATATATATAACTCGTTGGGTTGGGTTGGATGTTGTGGTGGGCAGTCTGGCTTATAAAAAAAGGGATAAAGATCATCATTCTCATTAATGAGCAATGTTCTTCTTTTATGTATTTACTTACTTCTTTGTTGATGCTCTTGGTCTCATTCATTGAATTTTTGGCTCGGTCCGTACTATTTCAAGTACTGACTACTTTGGTATAGGTTGTAAATTAATAGAGCGCAGTTAAAGGCATTCATCCACAGAATAGCAACAAGTTTGAAACTTCATGAAAATTGTTGCACCTTGTAAATTCGACTATTCTGTTGTATTGATTCGTGTAGATAAGTAGGAATTTTGGGTGAAAATCGATATTTCAAAATTTCCCCAAGTTTCCGATGTGAGTAACAACTTGCAAGAAATAATGGCAAGAAAAAGTGATTTCTTGTATATAGGTAATTTGACCTGCAAGAAACGCAAGGCACAAGAAACTACGCCCGGCCGCTATATTTCATACGGCGCGTGGCTGGAGGGCGCATAGTTCTTGCACTTTCTCACAGTTTCATGCACCTCGCATTTCTTGTTTTTTTTGCAGTGCAAAAAAATGTTGCAAACCCGCAATAAACGAAACACTACGGAATTTCCTAAAACTACTTTTCCCAAATAACTACTTCTTAACGACTTTGATAACTAATCAACTCGTTGAACCGATTGACACTCTCTTCGCCACACAAATAACCCACCCGCAGCGTGGTATTGAAATTGCATCCATTTCTCGCCTCATTTCACGCTTTTTTAAGACCTACACCTTTTGACATTTGATTGATGCAAGTGTAACCCCAAAGGACAATTTAACGCACAAATTGTGCAAGTGCTTATTTAAATACGTACATCGTCGGTTGACTTTGTTGTGGCTGACTCGCCTCTAATTTTATGACCTGTTTTACCCCACAATTTATTCCAATCAAGTAAAAATCGGTATGCGCATGCAAATTTTGTAGTCGAATTAATGGGTGAGCAAGCATAAAAAATAGTCCAGATTGATTATTATTATCATCTTATTATGCATTCATGCAGTCACAGGAGCCCTGAAGGTTGCTCACTTTCATCTCACAGGCACCGCTCTTGATCTTAACACGTAACATGAAATATTTGCATGTATGTACAACAGTTTAAGAATTATTAAGACGTGTGCATGTGCACCCAGTCGGTCCAAATAATGACAAAATCATTACAATAAATAGTTTGGGTTGATTCACTTGATTGGATCCGATCGTTCATCGCGTCTCAATTTTTATTTAATAGGTAAGACATGATCTTGCTCTCATTCATTTGCTGCAAGTGCAATAAATATGTCTTGGAGGATCAGTGGTGTGTACACATCGTAAATAGAGAACAAAGGGGTTTAATTGCACATTTTGTTTTTTGTGCATTATTTTCTGTCCAGCATTGCAGATTTTGCAAAAAATTTTGCAATATTTTAATCATCTCCGCGTCCGCCATAATCTTATCCGTATCAACCATCGACGATTCAGTGGTGTGTACACAAAAATAATTAAAACAAAAGAGTTTAATTGTACATTTTTTTGTCAAATTCTGTCCAGCATTGCAAATTTTTGCAAAAAATTTTGCAATCTTCTTAATCCTCTCCGCCCTTATCCGTATCATCGACACGGTCCCATTTTTTTTCCACATCTCTCTCGCCTCCTAAGATTTCTTCATTTCACGACCAATCAATCAACCCATCACGCTCAAGGAGTAAATAAAGTACAGTACACGATCGGCCATCAACTCCAATTGACTATTTGTACTTATAAACAACTAATGACTGCGATACGATACGAATAGCTTTGTTTTGTCGGAATCCAAATCTGTCTGAATGACTATTTAAACAGTATAATCTCATGTTTACCACAATGCATGCACGAGTTGCGTAAAGAGGTACCTTGGGTGTCCATTAAGACCATTTCCATAGTTTAACCCAGCATATCTAGCTTACTTACTTATTGAAGGTGCACGTTCTTCTTTATTATGACGAACCAGTCGAAAAGGCAAGGTCGTCTCGATCTTAAAATATTTAGATCTTAACTAGATTGCGATTGCATTACAAATTTCAGAAATATTTGAAGAATTGATCTGATCCCATCGTGTCCTGAGGTTGATTTGTAAATAAATAAATAAAGTAGGCTAAATTCTTACATAGTAATGAGCAAAATAAATACTTATAAAATTGTACAATAGTTGAAATTGGTCCGTCCGTCACACATTCCAACGTAAATTTATAAAGTATTTACTTATTTATTATTTGTGTTAGTAAATCAAATTAAGAGATTGGAAGGGTTACACCCTCCTCCTCGCATTTATTTAAGAGAGGCCAATATATCACACATGGCCGTTTGATTAATGACCATATCACTTTCCTTAATTGATTTTTACCACCAGTTACTTACTCAGAAAATTCTCTTCATTTTGATCTATTGGAAATTGGCTACATTTTTTTCCACGTAATTTATGGCAATTCCAATCATCCACCAACCACTAAACGTTACGTAATCATAAGTGGTACGAATTGTTCTTAAAGTTCACAGTTCAAAATGTACGTTCATAAATACTTCAATTCGTCAATTTTAATGAGAGGTACACAAAATTTTGGTGGAGAAGATTAGATTTACATAATTTGAAAACTTGAATTTATGATCAAACTTAACTCATATAAAGTTGCACAATACTAAATATCCATTTTTCCAACACCCGTATTCCCATCTAAAATATTTATGTATTTCAATATTATGTAACACTTCTTCACAAATGGTAAATAATTTACCATAATTAATATTTACTTTTGATTATTTAGACAAATTCATGCATAATTATTAGTTTTGAAAATTTAAATATGTATGAAATATTTCAAAGAATTTTATCCGATTACATACATTATTAAGTATGTATCCGTGTTTGATGGATGACAACATATGTCGTCATACGTAATGATAATCCTTTTAATGTAATGTAGTTCTTCACATCGTTGAACAATTGTCAACTCTCAATTTGCCGTGCTAATTGGGGTTACTTATTATTTATCGCCGACACGACGTGATTACGTTTTGCGCATAATGCGTGTTGATTGTGACTACAGCTCTTTAGTTGATTTGCTCTTTAATTACTGTCAAAGTAAGTACAATTACAAATGTATGTACGAGGTATGCGTAAATTAAGTGTGACAAATCCGACCGAACCTGTGAAAGAAAGGGGCGACTTAATGAGTAT